TATAATTTTTAAAATAAATACGATATTGAGATATAATATTCTTTTTTCCTTTTTAAATATATGTTTTTCTAGATGTGATAATAATATAGCTGAGATAATAAAATATGAACAAATACGATATTACATCTTGTGAGTGTGAAAGAAATATTGTTATTCGCATTTTTAATTTAATTTTCTTACAATTTGGAATATATTCAAATCATATCGAGTTAAACATTTTAAATCATTATCACAAAAGATTAAGAATATATTTATATACTTACAGATTGGTTAAACAATTTTATCAGTTTGTATACAGTTACTAAAATAGCGTTAACAATAAGAAATTCATCGAATTATTGCGTCGTAATAAAATTGAAATTTTAAATATGATTAAAAAGAAAGAAGAATTTGCTGAATAAAATATAAAATATAAATCAATATATCCTTCTATTGAATCGCGTCGTATTTTATATTTCTGTAAAATAACTGCATATAATTTCAGTATAATTCGTCTCGTTAGATCTGATGCAAATTTTACTAAAAGTCGGACCAGAGGTCGGACTGTAGATAGAGTGAAGAATTGACAGCAATAAATTTGCTTCAACAGCGATGTACTTTGGTTGTACGGCAATTTAAATACAAATTCATTTAGGCATTAACGACCACCGTCGCCTTGGCCCGTCCGAATCACCAATGTCGGATCTAAATCGAGAATATCGTAGCACGCAAAGTTCATCTCCCATTATTGCCCGACGAATTTAGAAGTCTGCTAGCTTCCTAAATGATTCGTCCGAGTCTAGAAATGCAATAATTTGAAAAATACGGTTGTAATGACACGGAAAAGCGCGATAATGAAATTCTTTTATTTATTTTTTTAAATATAAAGTTTCCATACAAATATGTATGCGACCTTTTTTTCTTTATTTTGATTGTTTTATTTTATTAAAATTATGTAACATTTAATTCTAGAAAGAAGAAAAACGTTCTAATATTAATCTTAAAATATCAATGATAATCAAATATATCTTAATAAAATTTTATAATCTATATCACACAATACACACACACATACACGTTTTAAATGTATTAGAAGAATAGATAAATTTCACTCTATTCATAATAATATAACAATTGTTAAATTTATTATCGAGACGAATTTCAATGTATTATGATTTAATTAATTTTATTTTTTTAACTTTCTTTTTTCAAGTTCTACTTTATTATCAAAGTCGGAATAGTTTAGAATTTTTGCTGCAAAAATATAGCAAGCTAGGAAGCTTCGTGGCTTATATATCATGTTAAAAACGTCAAGCAACGTCGTGCCATATATTTCGTTGAAAAGTCTTTAGCACAACGATCATGTATGTGTGAATAATGGAATTTCTCTACAAAGGGGACAGACATATCCAACATCCACATTTGTTGGTCTATTGTTGCTCTACCGATCTCACGGCTGGCACTAGTAAGGCTAATTCTCATATTTGCTTCCTGACGTGTCGCAGATAAAAACATTTTACTTATCTACCTACCAACTATCATAAAATACGCACATCGTTATCCGCGTGTATTATCTATAAACGACAAAGAAATTTCAATCCTCGCAGAAGTTCATCGCGAAAGTTTCGTTTTGGCTACTAGAATACATTTATGACGCTATTAACGATAACACAATAAACATACAAAATTAGCACAAGATATCTCAAATTATTCAAGCAAATAAAGGAGATTACATTATTAAATATGGTTGACACATAACTGATTTTACTAATAGAAATATATAACTATGTGAATTTATATAGATATGTACATAATTTCATAAGCGACAGAAACAGAGATATATGCAATAATTAAGGTAGAATTATTAATTTAAAAAATAATTGCAGCAATATTAATTTTAATGAAAAGAAAAATCTTATTTCTCGTCCTCGTTTAATTTACGCATTTTATTTGCCTGCGAAAAAATTGTGCAAATAAGCTAGAGAGCGCACAACGCGTATGGAGAAATTCTTTAACAATTTATTTTCGGATCTCGCCCTTGAACGGTGAAAAAAATTTGCTCTAAAAATATGTAGGCAAACGCGGGCGTTTTGTTTACGGCACGTGAAACATATTGATCAACGTGTAATGGTTTACTGTGCTCATTCGCTATCTCGAAGTTGCATTTATATAACGCATATAGTTGGAGAGATGAAGAGCAGTTTTTAATACACATATGTACAATACATACATGCATATTTTCACATATTACGCATATTCGCGCTAATCGACATTCTAGTTATTTCGTTAATTGCGGCCATTATAATAGCAAATTTTCAGGAATTTATCAAATCGTCAATTCATATCATGAAACAATTCTTTAACAGTAAAAACAACAGAATAAATGGAATAAATATATCATGAATAAGCCAAAATATACTGTCAAATATTCAATTATATTTTCTCGTATAAATAACGATTTCTTGAAATTTATATTATAGAAATTTATATTATATTTCTAATTTAATTTTTATTTATTCAAATATTAGTTAGAATTAGTTAGAATCAAAGTGATGTTTTATACAAAAAATAAATTTATAAATATAAAATTTATTTTTATCTTTTTATAAATTATTTATTAATATATCTAACATTTTAATTTATTCAAATTTATTTGCTTTTTCAGTATCTTATGAGAAAGGCATTGAACTTGTCAAATTGTCTTTTCTTGTTTATCTTTCCTTAAAAGGATACATATCTCAATTGCAATAACATATCCATTATTGATGACATAAACAGGTCAACTATCAATTACATAAACTGATAAGCTTTTTGCAAGGACAAAACGTCACTTGCGAACATAAAAATTATTTAAATTTTAATCACGTATGACGCATGTGATAATGTAAGAATGGAGAAAATACAATGAACAGATTACAAATCTCAAATAAAATGGCCGCTAAAAAATCCACGTTTTCGAAAAATTACTTTTAGACGCACATATGTGTACATGTACATACATATTTGTACGTTGCAGATTTTTTTTATAAAAACAGCTTTTTCAAACTATATAATTACCCATATATTATTATTATAGATTTAGAAATTTAAGATTTTAATTATAGATTTATAAATTTTTTCCTCACATTTGTCTCTTTCTCTTTCTCTCTTCCTGATAAAATTATCACCTAAAAACATTATTGTACATGTATATACATATTTGTACGTTGCAGATTTTTTTTTATAAAATCAGCTTTTTCAAACTATATAATTACCCGTATATTATAATTATTATAGATATTTATAAAATTAAGATCCTCCTCACATTTGTCTCTTTCTCTTTCTCTCTTCCTGATAAAATTATCATCTAAAAATATTATTGAAAAATCACAATACACTCACCATTCCGATGTGCTTTCACACATCTGTAGATGCGTCTTTTCCTCATGATACACACATGACATTTGTTCACCGCGTATCGCCGATTTCCTAATTCTCAACCAGTGTAACGCGTCCTCGTAGTTTTTCAATAATTGCGTTTTGCAATTTCGAGAGATCCTCAACACCGCCGATACATTCTCCTTGTTGCTATGAAGTTCGAATCGATGGATTCTCAGCGTTGTTCTCGTTTTATGAGTTCTCATTATCTCGTAGTCGTGCCACTCAACCGCGTCGCGAACGTCACACACGTCACACACGAAAAGTATCGATCCTCGCGAAAAATCTCGCAAGGATCACTCGATACTTCCTCGGCCGCAGATTAAAATCGCGTAGACCGAAAACTCGCGGCGTTCCTTATCGATTCATCTCTTCGCCCGACGAAATCCACGAGCAACTCTTTACTTGCCGAATAGCGTCAGCCGGATCAACGAGGCGTATCATTATCACGGCGTGATAAGGCAGCAGTGCACGATTTTGTCATAAACGCAGCGAGATACCGAACGACACGAGGATATACGGGAACTCGCGAGCGGTTTCGTTCATGATATCCCAACAACACTGCGCTTATCAAACGCAACCAGTCGTTCATTTATCATTTGTTTCGTACCTGTCTTACAACGAACATCTGATGCATAAGAAAGAGACTACTATCGGCTCATTGAAACCGCACGTGTGCTTATTACGGTAATTAAACAGCACATGTATCGATATATATGTATCGATTTGTTAATCAAAATTACATGGAATTTTATATTAAAATATTTGATGCTAAATTAGAAGTTTGTTGCAAATTGAATTAAAGTGTATTATATCTTGATAATTGAATCTTGAATTGAGAGCAATACAAGATTTTTTAATGAAGTAAAATTTAAAAAAGTAGATATAAGTTTGCATTAATGTATAGTGAAGAAATATATGTATTATTTAAAATTAGCGATATTTTCTAAAATTTATTAATTTAAGCAAATGATGTAGACATTATTATTGATTATTAACAAATATTATCTATAATATTTTTGTTATAAAATGTCTCATTGCATTAATTATATTTTATTTTGAAATATCTTAATGACAATATGTTTCAAAATAAAATATAATTAATGCAATAAGACATTTTATAACAAGAAAAAATATTATAGATAATGTTAATTTAAGAGACTTATTGAATATTTATTCCAAATAGTCTGTCACTATTGTCGATTAGAATTTCTATGCGATTGTATTCGTCCACATTACACGCAATTCATTCATAAAATAGTTTATACTTTAAGAATGAATACGTCAAAATTCATTTAGTCAAACTATACGAAGTGTTTACGTAATATCTAGAATCAATTAATCTTAAATATTATATCTAATTATATGAAAAAAATCTTTCTATTCTTCCCTATGATTGAGTTAAAACGCTTGTAATTGTATTCATAAAAAGCATCGCTAATCATTCTGAATCGCGTTCTCATAAATATTAATTAAAATTAATCAAGATTCAAATTATTCCGTCTGCTTCTTTCTATTTTCACTCGACATTAAATTTGGACCAGTTTAATAACTGGAAAATATAGAAACAGCCGTCTTTAAAATGATGTGATTCATTCACTCACCCATTGATGACGGAAGCGGATTCATTGGCGTTAGATGGGCCCGACACCTGGACCTTGGGCACGGTGTAAACGTCCAGATTTTGTCCATAACCACCTGCGCCCTGGCGATGGGCGGTGGTGTAATCATCGCTATCACTACTTGGCGGTTGCTCCGATCCGACACCGCCACGAGGTCTAAAACAGAACGAAACACCGTATATTATTATATAAAGACGAGCGGAGGAGCAATCGGCCAGGAGAAGTTTCGTTCTACGACGTCGAAAAGCGCAACTAAACTGTTTCTCACTTGTAATTCTACTTCGTATCTTTCCGCATCACGAAATCCGCACTAACAATTAACACTGCATTAATTATTAACAAGAATATAATTGCGCACGAATGTAAAATTACATGCCTGAACTGAGACGCGCATTATTCGACCGGACTGATTAAATTAATCTGCTCTCTTGCGATTCATCGCAATAGAAATCGAGACTTCAGCTTAAAATTTCAACTTAATTTTCCGCGACGATTCGTTAATGTGGGATTAGATGTGGCACAATTATACCGCACGATATAATACACTAGCGATATAATACACTAGCAGATGCGTATTGATCGCTCTTAAAGACGAAAGATACATGTATGCACAAATATATATATATATATATATATATATATATATATATATATAGCATGAACAATTTAAAATTAAATTACACAAATTACCAAAAAAAAATACAATAATATATACAATTTTATCACGAAATAAAATATAATAAATATTTATTGGTGGATTCCACTTCTCTTTTTTGGAAATATAATAATACATGGACGTCAAACGTACGCTAAATATCGATAATTATAAAAATGGATATTTTAATCGGGCATAGCACAAGATTTCAAATTCGATTTCAAATTCTAGATGAAGGAAATGCTCGGGGCGTGACGACATTCGTGGTAGCTAGCATCACGAGCTATCGCCAGAAGCGTGGCAAACCCCATCGAGTCGGGAAATTAACTGGTCGAGTTAACCAAGCCGCGAGTTAATTAACTCCATCTCGACGCGACAGATGCGAGATCGTGCAATGCGTGCCTCAACGAGAGCAATGGAAAAATTCCAATCTCCCGTGAAACACGCTCTTCGCATACGTTATTGGAGCAATTGCTTCATGTAAATCAGTTCGCTCGACTTTTTATGCAAAGGATATCCAAGCTCTGTAAAGAGACTTTTATCATCCATTCGTAAGAATCTTGTAATAAAACGGGAAAATGTGAAGGCCGAACAAAAATGTGATATTGCAACAATGCTTTTTTTTCCACCCGTCTTGTTAAAGTAACATTCTCTTCATTATGAGAAATTATGTTTCAATTAAAAAATTTGATTTTTTTAACGAGCTTTAAATGTGATATAATTTTTTAAGAAAAAATTAAATAATTTAATTAATTCTTTAGCACAGAAAAAAATTAATATAAATAAAAGCTAACGTAATTTCTCAAAGTTACGCGTTCTGGTCAATTTTGAACTAGTGCCGAATGTTTATCAGTACTTTTTCATACTTTGTATTATTTTATTCTGAAAAAGAAATTTGTGTAATAATATTAAATAGAATGAACTGAAAGACATCGTCGGCTCATTTGCAACGTAAATTCGCCTAATTTGTATTTCAAAAATGCAGCATTTATACAATTTCGTTTCATTACGCATTCTGAAGATTCTTATGTCATCCATTTTCGCAGAGCAAAGACAAGATTGCGGAATCGATCGTCCTCAGCCCGCGCTGGCGTTTCGCCAGTGCAGGCGCATTATCGCGGAAGTATATTTCCAGAATAACAGTATGTACTTTATAATGTGAGCGGGAGGAGGCAAATTTCGCAAATTCTCTAGCGTTGCTCTTCTCATATTCGTCATGTCGGACGAGAATATCCATGACAGAACAAATGTGTCTCTGTTGCAACTGGGAAATATTCATCACGAACCGCAAACAAAATTCATTTGACGCAAAAAGAGCTAGTCTCTTTTATTACCCTACATTTCGTAACGAATGTAACGATTTCTCCCATTTTACATCCCGCATACGAGACGTATTGTTCATGTTAAACCTTGCCAACTATTTTTGCTCACGGCACCGTATTCTCTTTGTCGTGAATCACAAACCACTGAATCTTCAAGTTGCCAACTAGTATACTGCTAGTATAGTGTAACACTGCATATATTACGAATTTACATTCAACAGAATTATTTATGAGCTTTCTCTCTCTTATCCGTGCTAGCTTTCGAAATGGGGTCGCCGCTATCTGAAAATTATGCAAGTGTTAGATCTATATATCTGTCAACTGATAGAATTATGATCAGTTAGTCGATATTTAGATCTACTTCATCTCTATTAACTCTATTTACTCTTCGCCTTTTGTAATGATAACTGATAACTGCGAACGTGATCTCTGATCCATGACTCTTTGCCCGGGATTCTTAAAGAATTGACAAGGACTTGGAAGCATTGATACCCTAAACGTCTACTAAATCTCCCTAAACTAGATTAAAGCAACCGTGAAGAAAATCGAGCAAAAATCAAGCATTGTAATATATGCACATGCGATGATGTTATCCGACATAGTAAAAAAATAACGTTGATGACGACTCGAGTTGAAGAATTCAATCTATCGACGTACTTCTTTAAAACTTTGGACAAGTTAATTTAAATTTAACATTTTCAATCTTTTATCATCTCATCAATTCTCTTAAAAAATAAATCTGCAATATAAATGTTTTAATTATACAAGATATTCTCGCACTTTTTTTTATAATGTTAGATCATCTGAACCAAAAGAGGAGTTTATAAGCGCTAATTTAAATTAATTCACTTTGATTATAATACAAAAAAATTAGATATCATAGTTCTATAAAAAAAATTGTATATAATGAGCACATTATAATGACTGGTTAGCTCGATATAAGCGAGGAATCGACTACTTTGACATTTTTCTCAACCGGTGATAGCGCGGCCTTTGTTCGCACCTGCGGTGAGTATTATCGTAACTGGCAGTCCAATAGAGAGGCGCCACTGTCCCGCGTTGTTGCTGTTCACAGCGGACACATACAAAGTCTTCTTCTAAGCTGGAACTAGGTCTAGCCCCACGCGCGCGAAGCGCAGCTTCAATTATCCCAATCTTCCCGCATCCTCCTTCCGCTTCTCGCCTCTCATCGACGTGACACGCGATTCAAACGACGGAGTCCGCGCCCCCAGAACAAGACACTCTCCCTCATCAGCTGAGATAGCACCTTTCCTCTATTATTTCTCCCGGGGAAGATCCCTCTCGAAATAGCCTGACGTTTCTCTTTTTTCGAGCCTCTTGACGTTCTCGAGTCTCTCGACTTTTTTCCTCGATCCTGCCGACTATCACCGAAGAAACCGTCACCGAAAATCGTGGCCGGACGACCGTCAACGAGGACCTTCCTCTCACAAGTCCGGCGCTCCTCTTGGAAGAGAAAAATGAAATAACCACGACGATGACGACGATGGCAGGAAACAGGGACGTAGCCGCAAGGCGCCGCCGCCGCTTCGATATTCCAGACGAGTCCTGACGACGAGAGGAAGAATACGGCAATGCGACGTGAAGCGTGTCCGCTCTACTCTCCGCTCTCGGCAACCGTTTTCGCGGGTGTACGTGTATATGTGTGTGTGTGTGTGTGTGAGCGGATACGCACACGCGCGCGACAAGCAGACTGGTACTGCCGCGTCTGCGCCGCGCGACTCACCTATTGACCGAATATCATCGCGATGGCTATATGACTACAGGATAGTGCATATAGCAGAAGCTGGCTCGTGTTCACGCGAGCATCGCTTCGAGATAAATTCTGAGGCTCGCGCTCCGCCTCCTCCCCTCGAGACGACACAGATGACAGCCGCGATGACAGTCAGCTGATCGCGACCGCTGCTCGACCGCGTCCCGAGTAACGATCCGCGAATTCGTTTATTACGCTTTTTTCATCTGGAATCTCACGCGAATTATCTTCCCATCTGATTTTTATCGCCTCGCGTCGAAAACAGCTGCACGATCGCGCGTGTGTTTCGGCGATTCAATAATATCTTCACCTCTCACCTTTTGCTACTTGGACAGAATTATGTGATCAATCTTCTAGTAAACGTCCGCCTCGGCGTCTTCCTCTGCATTTCTATTTTCCATCCATCTTTCCCCTTCTTGATTTGTTATTTTTGTATTCTGCCTTTTTTCGGGACAGGCATTCATTTATTCGACGCGGTATTTTATTATGTCAATATCATTATTCATATTTTTTTATGTATATGTATGTTTTTTTACTATTATTATTTTACGAATATATTATCTTTATTTCTTACACATATGCTCTTCACGTCTTAGAATTTAAATAAAAATCCATTCCAGAAATAGAATCAATACACTGAGGGAAAAATGTTTTTGAATAAAATACATTTGTTTTCTCTTAAAACTTTTGCTCTAAACGGAAGGAATTGTTTATTTCATTTAAGCAAAAGCATTTAATTTTAATTAAATATGCATGTTATATTAAGTACATTATTTTCATTTATATATATTTTATATTTAAATACTATTTTCGTAAAATATATAATATAATTTATTAAATTAAATATATTATTTTTTAAAATTAAAAAATTTAAAATTTTTGGGAATAAAAAATGCATTTTAATAAATATTTTCTAAAATTAAGATATAAAAATTTTAATTAAAAATTATATTTTTTTAAACATATGTAAATAAATACTTAACTTAAGCAAACAGATGTTTTCAATACAAGTAAATATGTGATTAGTACCCACCGAATAAATAGCTTTTTTGAGTTAACTAAAATTTTTTTATTTCAAGATAATTTTTTCCTCAGTGTAAAATTTCATTAAATTTAATTTTTATGTTGTTGCGATATAATTGTAGCTTAAGCATCTTGCATCAATTGCCGATTCTTTCATCTCTTTTTTTACATAATCTTTTTATTTTTCTATTTACGATAGACGCATCGACTGCACATCACCACTCATATCAATACTCGACAACCGCATGCGAACATTTAATTGCCCGACGAGGTTCTCGCGATGCGAAAACGACTTCCTCGTTAAAGGAGGGATCGTTTATAACTCGTTCGTTCTCATTCGCGATCACGGAAGTCCGATCGACGTTGATCCGACCCGACAAAGGAGGGTCGAACACGTGGTCTAGAATACATCAAGAGACGTTCGTTGCGAGAGAATGAGCAATTTTAAACGTTGTTCACACAATCAGTCATTACATATTGCATTAGTGAAATTTATCTTATTACAAAACTCGCTCATTACGATTCTGCAACAGCAGAGAAAGATTTTATTGCGTGAACAATACTTAATTTTAAATGCATTAAATTGCGAACGAGAGAGAAAGGCACGATTAGATTGTTCTTTCCGCCTCTGCTTTTCGCGCCCATACAGAATGACCCAACGTGGATCGGGATTTATTTTTACATCTCCCATGATACGTCATATATCTGAATTGCGCAACCAGGACTAACCCGAATCAATTCCATCCCTTCTCGCGACATTCTCGCCTTGGTCGATAATAAACAATTTATCGAGCAAAATCGTGACCAATATAATTCCAATGAGTTCACGACGTCACGCGTGTGTCATATTTATTTAAACAGAAATGAGGCGATTGATGCAGAGCCTGTGTTTGACTCCGGCACGAAAAATTATTACGTCAACAATTATAAAATCATATCAATTATAACTATTCTAGCTTGCAGACAGAGAGAGAGAGAGAGAGAGAGAGAGAGAAAGAGTGACAAAGAGAAGGAAAAAGAGTGGGCGGAAAATGTGAAAAACGTGACTTACGTTGGCATCGACACTGCGGGACATCCGAGTTGCAGGAGACTCCTGGCGAGATATTCCGGCGCAGGTGCGTCGCTCCCTGGTGCGTAACGCTTGATAGGTCGGAACGTTTTGCTGTTGCTGCCGCAGCTCGCGCCTCTATCCGACGACGATGACGACAAGGACGTTGTCAACGGCGACGACTCCGCGTTCATCAGACGCGCTTCTCGCGCGACGACGTGATCGGCACCGTTGGCTCGTGAAATCTTCAAGGAATCGCTGCGACACAGGCCTAGCTCGCTCTCTAAAATTTCAACATCGCACCTTATGATTAGATAATTATACGTGCATTCTCTATGATTAAACTATCACTGAACGGTATGATTGCGGAAGTGAAAGCAACCCGTACAGATTGAAAGATGCACGGAAGCTATTATTAAAGTGTCCCCCTTTTGCACTCTTTTTAATCGGCGAAATGTGACGTAATCGATTTCAATTTTTATGATGAATGCTTGTCGAATATTTTCATCAAACTTGTTGTGAAATTTATTTCTTTAATTTTAATTCAACATTCGATTAAATATAATAATTTGCAATTCAATCCCGGATTAAAACTCTCTCGATGTATTTCATAAAAGGCAAACTTGCAACGCTTAAGTCATCTAGAAGCTATATAGGCAAGATATATTCAGTCAATATTATAGTCCAAAGATTCTTATATTCGGTCGCAGAATTTTTCGCGACGCGTCTCTCCAAAACTTATATAGAACTTTCTCTTTCACGCAACTTTTTTGGAAAAAGTTAGTTCGACGAGCATAGGGGATTCCTATGGATTCATTTTTACGGTCAAACGAGACAACTAGAATAAAAAAAAAATGAGCGAGAACGTCGGAACGAAATACATGGTAACTGTAAACGCGACATCCGGCGAGCTCATTCGCTCCCATCGTCGACTTTAATTCATTTAAAGCCCTCGTTACGTCAGCCCCGTGTATTAGCGGCGCACCGCCAGTCTCCGGTTCATACTACCTGCATTACGTGAACACATTACGAGAGCTGGTGCCTTTAGCCTAAGTGACTTAAACTTTGTGTCTGCCGCATCAGCTTACTTTGGATCTGGTATATCCGCAGAGCCATGTTAGTAAAGATCGATAGTTCATCACCGGCCGATCATCCCTGAATCCCTGATAACTGATCTCGATCTGAGTCCTCAATTTCGAAAAGCAATAATTTCTCACAAAACGCGATTGCTCGATCTCTTAGCACGAAAATTGAAAAACCGATCTAGTGCAAAAAATGTGAAATTCAAAGTAAAGATTGAAATAGTTTTTCAGTGAGTTCACGGAGAATTAATTACTTGAGAAAGAAAGAGTTTTGATATTTCTGTTAGAATGGAAATATGAATCCACTTCAATTGAATTGTCGATTTTATAGCTAATTTATTTCAGCACGAAAACCTATTAATAAGAGACAAATTTATATATGTAATAAAATTTATCACATAATGTAAATTTAGTTAATGTGTATGTGTAGTTTATTATCTATTAATGAAAAAGCGATAGAATCGATCACACTTTATTTATATGATATATTCAATCGTCGGAAATATGAATCCACTTCAATTGAATTGCTGATTTTGTAGCTAATTTATTTCAACACGAAAACCTATGAATAAGAGAAAAATTTATATATGTAATAAAATTTATCATATAATGTAAATTTAGTTAACGTAAAGTGTGTGTGTAGTTTATTATTTATTAATGAAAAAGCGATAGAATCGATCACACTTTATTTACATGATACATTCAAACGTCCAAATTAAAATTTTGTTTATAATTTAAAAAGAAGTTGGATAAAATTTATTTTAATATCTAAAAGAAAATAATAATTTATAAATTATAATTTTTATGCACACACGCACACATGAAAACTTGTAGTTATTTATTAATTATCATTTGCGGCACTAAATAAAATTCTAATTTTTTAATACAAAGATTGATGTATGACAAATAAACATTTTTCATAAAAAATTGCCACATCTGATATATCGAACTCATGAAAATTATACTGATTTCTCGATTCCACGAGGATGTTAATTCGAGATGATGCGAGTCCAAGTAATAACAGCGAGGAAATGATACATATGTTTCCTTCTCGCGCGTGAGTTATAATTCTACTTGGTCAACAAACGCTGTACGACCTCGTGGCCTTCTGTCCAACGACTGAAAAGTCTCGAGGGCGTGGAAGAAACGCGAATGTAACAACCGATATCGCCACGTTTTTGGCAAAATGCCGCGCATCTCCGTGTGTTACATGCGGGAAAACGCCGCATCTCGCTCGAAAGATTCGCGACACGTACCTATGATGACGCGTTGCGCGCGATCGAAGATGATACGCGAATTATTTGCGGCGCGTGGCACGCGGCATGACAATGGGGCAGTTTCGTAGGCGGTTTCCTGAAAACCGCGTCGTCCCGGAATTCCTTTTCACCGCCCAAACGCTAGGCATTGCAGATAGATTGGAGAAGAATGACATCGGGTGTTTCGCGGAACTCGATATTGCGATACCAAGAGAGCGGAAAGGAGGAAATACGACAATCACGCCTACGATAGTGTCGCGGAAAAATTCGATGAAGAATTTATTGCGAGAAATTTAAACACATTTTTCCCCCTTTTTTCGACGGCTCGATAAATTTATAGAAATATTTAGAAATCAAATAAAATCATATAAATTCTGTAATGTGATAAAACGAAAATTTAAACATCAAAAATGAAAGTTACACATCGTAAATTTTGAACGTCGAAAAAAAATACTGATTTTTAATAACAGACTGGTCGAAAAGAAGCATTCTTAAGCTTGCTACTTACACGAGCAATGCTGATTTACGGCTGTCTGCGAATTAACAAATATTTTATATCCAAACAGTGTTTGTTATCCTTCGCTGAATATGAAAAACAATAGATACAAGATGACCTGGTGTCTGTAAGACGTAAACAAACTCTTTGACATAAAGTTTTTTGTTTATAAACGGCGAGTTTATTGTCAGTTGCGAAAGACGAGCAGTAAAAACGCTCTCAAGTCAGTCTTGTGTCATTCTTAAATGTTATCGAAGACGCGCACATAAAAAGTAAAACTATTCATTTATAATCTGTGGACAGCAATATTGTTTACGAATTGTTCGCAGAATTTATATGTAAATATATATTGGAATATGTTGTATATTTTTTTAATCCATTCTACATGTATTTATATTTTATTCAAAATTTATTATCATCTTAACTCAAAATTTCTTCTTCGATAATTGCACCCCATCCAATATAATTTTCTCAGACACAATGCAATTCCTATCCTTAGCAAGCGAAAATAATGAACGCTCTTACCGGCCTATTTGCCCTTTTATCCAGAATGTGCTCGTGTAAATTCTCCGCCACATTATCTTACGCTAACCATTACAGTAAATCTATTTACGGTAAGCATCGATCGATCGCGTAAAGTAAGAGAGGTCTTATATAGCGTTTATATAGTGCATCCAAACTATTTATCTTCGATAGAACAAAAGTAGTTGATGTTGATTATGTTTAATTGTCGCTGTTAGATGCAGCTGCTGTTCGTGAAGAGTAGTAAATATCCGCGGTTTCATCCTACTAAATGTGTTGAAATATTTCCGTCACTCTCAGTATGTTGCAATAAAACATTATAAATAGCCATCGAGCTACTGGGTAAAAGATGCAATCTCTCCTCATTATGAAAAAATAAAAGAAGAGAATTATTTAAAATTCCAATTAATAATTAGGAATTTGGCTCAAGTAAATAAATCGAAATTAAATCAAAATTCTATCTAATATGTAAAATATTTCAATATAAAAATTCTTACTGTTAAACTCTCTATATCTATAAATTTTTAACTTCTTTATAAATAATTTTTTAATATACAAAAGAGTAAATATGTGTTTTGAGATAAGTTTTGATTTTTTATTGGGATATATAAATCGTTAAATGTACTATTTCGCTCCTCATTCAAAAAATTGAACTATTAAAAAAAAAGATTTTTTTCGAAAAGAGAGCGGTTCACACAACATTCTTTTGTCTGCTAAAAAATTAAATTGTCAGTTACCAATTGTTTTAAATGGTTCTCCTATTTGGGATGCACAAATACATATTGTAAGCAATTCTTGTGTGTCTACAAACACAATCAACAAGCTTAGAAGTGAGTGTCTTGTACCTGATGTCAAAGGATCAATATTTTAGTAAGCATATAATGGCAAAAATATCGATACTTCTTATTCAGAAACTAGCAGTAGCTCCTTTATTTTTTATTTTATGAACCTTTTATTCTATTATAAGATTCGGAAACACTCCAGAAAAAATAGGGATGTATGTGGGAGGAGATCGGACGTGTCTATATGTTCATTTGATCAACGAGCGACAGAATCCATCCGTGGCATCGACACATATCCTGTGGAGAGAGCATTCACACATTTTTCAGCCCAACGAATAATTGTTAGACAACAATATTCGTGGACTAGACAAATATGTGAGGTGCAAGTGGCTGAATCGGAAATCGAACCCGAGTCTTTCGTTTTCAGGTAACTGCTCTAGACTACTGAGCTATCCAGATCTCACACCTAATGCTGCTTTTTTAACACAGTGATATGCGTGGTATCTCGCTCGATGGATGCAATGTCGATTGTCATGGAGAATCCTTCAAAGGTCACTCGCTGACCAAATAAATGCCGGTAAAGGTATTCGCGTGCACTGAATATATGTGGGAGAAGGTCGGACGTGTCTACGCCCATTTGATCAAATTCTTTAATGCGCATGCTAAAAATATCGAAGTATAAGTTTTAAGAAAACAATAAACAGATTTCCTCTAAATGTATGTTTCACATTTACACGTAACATAAATTCACTTGAGGTCCATTTTCAAAATACTTTGCAGAAACCGGTTCCGTTACATTTTTTTGTTTGCTTTGTGTTTTCTCAGTATCTCGAATAATGTTTATTAAGAATGTGCGAGCGATTCCTTCTTGGTTTCTTCTCTCTCCTAGCGTACTATTTTTTTTCTATCATCTCGATTTATTTTTATCTCTTTCTCTCAGTTCATTATATACCATGTACATCCGTTATATCCATTTGCTTGATGCAACGACAGTTATATTATCTAGGTTCTTAGAAAATTTTCTCCAAGATAGCAAATTATAATAGATAAACAGAAATTAAAGATAACAAACGGGATAAATGATCTGTGTATTTTTACTTTGTTTTATTTCAAACTATATCGTAATTGATTTAGATTATCGACAGTTTTCCGCTTGTTTTACACGATACTTTCGTATAGAAAGAAATGATCATTTAAGAAAAAGTGTGTTTTTCTTCTCCACAATGCGCATTCGTGTAAACAAAAAATTGTTCATTTCTATTCAAGAAACGAACAATTTTCTATTTGCACGAACGCATGTCGTGGGTTTAGATAAAGGTCGAAGTTTATGCGATGACAATATATTGAGATGTCCGATATCGAGATGCTATCGACAATTCACATAGCATGCATATTCCAATTCAATGTAAATATGTAAATATGATCTATCAGTATAGGATTCAGCGATCGTGTATTCGAATCAAATCAGTAATGATGCATATTAAATTTTCGCATGGATTTCGCACGATTCTGAACTTTCCGCTATTTCATGCCGCATCGAGCTGTTGATATTAATTCTCACTGTGCTATATTTTTATAATAATATAGATACACAATAAATATATGAGTATATTTAAATTATATATCATATATACACTGAGGAAAAAATTATCTTGAAATAAAAAAATTTTAATTAACTCAAGAAAGCTATTTATTCGGTGGATACTAATCACGTATTTACTTGTATTCAAAATGTCTATTTGCTTAAGTTAAATATTTATTTAAATATGTTTTAAAAAATATAATTTTTAATTAAATTTTTATATTTTAATTTTACAAAATATTTATAAAAATGCATTTTTTATTCCCAAAAATTTTAAATTTTTTAATTTTAAAAAATAATATATTTAATTTAATAAATTATAGTATATATTTTACGAAAATAGTATTTAAATATAAAAAATATATAAATGAAAATAATGTACTTAATATAACATGCATATTTAATTAAAATTAAATGATTTTGCCTAAATGAAATAAACAATTCCTTGCATTTAAAGCAAAAGTTTCAAGAAAACAAATTTATTTGATTTAAAAAAATTTTTCCCTCAGTGTATGTATATAAAAAAAAATATATAATTAATATATGTAAAACATGAAAACAATGCTAATGAAATAACATAAGAGATAAAATATAAATTATTCCTATACAAATAAGTTTCATTAAATAGAATAATAAAAAATATCTGGATAATTTTCCGTGGATTATTGAGCAAACATCCAAAGAAATAATTAGCCAAGACATTATTGAGAAACGATTTTTTAAAATGGCAAAAATGTGCATGTAACGTAAAAAGTATATCAAATACTTTTAATTAAGAGAATTTACTTCAGAATAGAGACAAAGTAGTGAATTAAATTAAAACGGATAATATACCGCATGTTTTCGTATTTGCGAATTCCTTTTGATTTTGCAATATCGTCAACTGCGTATGACCGCAGTTGGACGCATCTCAATGATTTTATAGTGACTTTGAGCACAGAATCACTCCCTTGTCGCAATACATAATTCGGTCAATGTGACGTCAATTCTCAGACAGCTGCCAGACAAAGCAGCGTCGTAATCACGTCTAATTTCGGAAATTTGCAATAAGTGCTAACAGCATTTGTACAATGTCCAAAGATAAACAATCAAACGTCGAAATAGCACGAGATCACGTGGAAGTAGCAACAACAGCGAGTTTAAAACAGATTTTAAATTCGCTGCGAACACGCAGAAATTCCAGGTCATCGCCCCGATGCGTCACGGAGAATTTCCCAGTTTCTGGATTTCGAAGGAATGGGAATCTTTCAGACAACTTTGGAAAATTGCTTTCATCGTCGTAAGCCTCGTCGAGAAACTTCGGCAAAGCTAATAAAAATCTTCGAAACCTTGAGACGAAACTCAAACTAATTCACGATCTCAAATCCCTGTTTCGCGTTGGTCAAAAAAGTAAAAAAAATATAACGGGTACTCAGATGAGAAAATATCTATCAATATGTAAACTCTAATCTCGATTATATATGCATGATTTAAATTACGTAAACTTTAGTAACGTTTAAATTATTAAATATTTTAATTAAATATTTAAGTGAAATGAAATAAAATTATTAAAACATAAATACACGTCATTACGCCAAGCCAACTATTGTCAATTATATTCACAACAGTTTATTTCAAAAAATATTCTGATAATATACTCGCACGTTGATCCGATTATAAAACATATGCATATATACAGAATGTAATATCTATTTGAATAAAATCACAATAGCTAAAATAAATAAATAAAGTCTCTTTCTTCGCTTTGAAAATGTGAAATCTCCATTATGTAAGCACACAAATATACGATTTCACCCTCGTCACACGCTTACGTGCCTCACTATTAATGAGCTCATAATGCGTGATAACAACGCGGTAACATGAGAAAATGTAATGTGCTGCTTGTGTCATGCATCACATATGTTATGTCTGATGTTAACGTAACACTGTACATGTTCCATTTGACGAATTTTCTCACAATAGTTTCTATTTCACTGAGAAGATGAGTCAAAAGAAGACTGACGATTAAGCACTAATTACTTAATCCTGGAATTTATGCTTTAAACAAAGATATATTGATCTGAGAAAGAATTCTTTTTTGCATCGCATTATTAAGAATTTATGTAATAAATTGTAATGAATTTTTATGTAATGAATTTGTTATAAGAATTTTTGTAATAAGAAATATAATAAGGATGTTTGTGTCTCCATTGAAAAGAACAATCTTGTAATACTTTCAAAATAGTCATAGATCTCGCGCACAGATATCTTATATTTTTACTTTAGATAAAAGCATTACATAAATAAAAATAACTAAAAGCAAAGAAAATAAATTATACATTCATGAAATATCGTCTTTAAGGAATAAATATCAATATATCAATATATATATTGTACGAAAAAATCTTGCTTCATTTAAAAAACTATTTATTTTCTTACAAAATATAGCAGGAATGAATGTCAAAGAATTAATATTAAAATCTAAAAAATATTCATTCGAGTGCTTTGTAGAAGTACATGGTATTGTATCGCAGTAGTGTAAATTAATGTAAATATCTCGTGTCTCGTAATTTCCAGGATGTTAATTTTAGAAGCATATCTCACACAATGCGTGCTAAATATCAGATCAATTTTAGCAATTGTGAATTTATAATTGTAATAACTAATTCAATGTCTTTAGTTTATCACAGTTACACGATTAAAAAAATAATAAGATTGAACCGAAAAATTAATCTTAAAATGCTAATACAATAAAAAATATTAAATATCATTTTATATAAGCATGATGAAAAAGATTAGAAATTATTAAAATTATAGTCTTACCTAAAACATATATAAAAAGAAAATTAAATTAATGTTAATACAATAATTACGATAAAAAATATTTTGCATTATTTAGAAAAATCGGATTATGATTGGCAAAATTAAGCGTTAAAATCTTCGGCAAATTCTGCTTATCTGATTCTTACCTTCGATAAGATCGTTCATCAACGGTATCCTCAAACTGATGCCTCGTCGCAGATTGATGGACTTGGCTCTTACTTCCGGTTCCAACATTTTGGCGCTGCTCGTTAATCCCGTCAGGCTTCGCGGAAAGGGAGAAGGAGAGAAAGAAAGAGGGAGAGGAGCGAAAATTTGCGTGATATCTCGACGATGAAACTCGGCCGAACTGAATCAGTCAATCGCGTCTCTTATATGAACAAGCGAAGAATTCCCGAGGATGCCTATCGACCGGCTATGTCGTCTATAGTGCTGATCGGCCAATGGCAGTGACAAGCGTGTAGTCACGTGCGGTTGCTTTCGACAGTACGTCCTCGTTGATCCGTCATCAATACCGTCCGAAGTTTCATAACGCATTCATTTCCCACGGTTCTTTTTTTTCGAGAAATCAATGTTTATTGTTTTTCTCTTCCTGACATCATCGTGACGCGTGTCGGGGTTTTTTTTATTCACGAATATTCGGGGAAATCAATCACGTACAATGACGCAGTGACATCGCTTCTTTTCTTCTCTATCCGTTAATCCCCTATCCATCTATGTTTGCCGGTTGAATTAGAGATCCGATCTATTTTCGTAGTTGCGCGCGATAATCAATCCGATTAGATCAATCTGAGATTCTGAATCATTCGAAGCGATTTGATATTATGGGTTATTGAGAATATAATAAATAGTGTGAGAGCTAGAACGGATGTATCAATGAATGATCAGATATACGCGATAAGATATATTTTCTTGTTATTGATTACTATATGAAATCTACATTTACTATATTATAAAATAATACGATTACCCCCTCCCCCCCTCCATCAATCAGCATTTTCTCATACTGTATTATAACATTATGCAATCATTATATATTTCATTATTATGTAGATATATATTAATGCAAATTTAAAATTTATTATTATAAAATTTATTATATTGCAGATTAGAGAAAAAATTTATTAAAATTTATATATAATAACACTTATATATAGTGATATCATTGACAATTTCATCAATTTGATATTCTTTTAAACAAAAATCCAAGATATAAAATAATTTAAATTCCTTTAGATCTTCCTTTTTATATTTGGATTTTAAATTTAATATCGATTTTATTATCGATGCTATGCAATGTGTTTTCATGCAAATTAACTGCATTTAATTAAAAATCTAATTAATAAATTAAAATATAAATATATAATAAAAATATAATACAAAAAATGTTTAGAATAAAAGTTTTTGCCAAATATTTTATAAATATGCTAATTATTAATTTCTCTATATAATTAGCTTAATTTTGATAAGATTTATTCTTTGATTATATTCTTCAATCGATCACTCATAAATGTCATACTATTACCAATATATTGTTAAAGTTAAATCAATTTTTTTATTATAATTTTTGAGAAAATTTTTTTATATTGTTTATTTAAATGTAATATTTTTTAAAGTATTGTAGAATGAGATCGATGACAATTTATCCTGTTTTTAAAAATTGTTCTATACGCTTCTATAACCGACATCATACTGCCAGAGAAAGACATTACTTCTCGTGTGAACCAAAGAATTAACCGCCGTTTATTTATGATTTGCAAGTTGTTGGTATACGTAAAGTAGGTAGTTCTAGGAATTTACGAGATCTCGTCTAGATAAGAGTCGACGTAGTTTTCTATGACGTCGAGAATTTCGCTCTTCGACGAGAGAGAGAATATCAAATAATGAATATCAAATTTTTAACAAAAAAACTTGAAATTTAAACGCGACGATGATAAGCGCAAAAATGATAAGTATTAGATTGGCTAACATAACTCGCGCATGATTTAGAGGTCAAGTTAAAACTCGAGTTTATTTTCGCTTTGACATATCGTGCCAAAGAACGAATGCGTCGATACTTCGAGATATGTAACACGTTTAGTAGAATATTAAAACGCAATAAAATATCTGAGATTTAAACTTAAAAAAATTAATTTTCGATAAAAATTTAATATCCATGTATTGTGTATATTATTTAAAAATAATGTCATTTTTCTGAAAATATAATTTTAATAATAATTAAAAATAATAAATTAAAACAATAATTAAATACAAATAATGACTTAAATAATAATAAAAAGTATAATTATTATAATAATAAAATAATTTAAATAATAGTTAAATATAAAACAACAGAAACAATAAAATTTCTATTTAATTATACCTCAAATTAAAAATTGGAAGTTGCGCGAAAAAAACGAGTAATTTACGATACTATATTACAATTTATGATATTACTATATAATATACGATATAATTATTATAATCTAATTTATAATACTATATTTAGTCACTATATTATATACTCGTGTCGCAAAATTGCATGATTGTAAGCGTTAAATGTGCAAATTATAAATCCAACGAATGTTTGTATTTCTATTTTACAAAATATTTTAAAATTCGAACTCGAAGTTTATTTCTTGCAAATTTTTTGGCTGTACTATATCACCGTAATACAACGTGAAACATTAAGTGTCAATTAATTATTTACTTTAAATTAAATTTGTTCTTTTCTCAATTCTCAGAACGTATAATATGTAATATATATATATATATATATATATATATATATATATATATATGTTCGCAGTTGTCTCAAATAATTGGACACGACAAAGACGATCAGCACCAGCAAGAAATTATATGCGAATAGCGCGAGTGGCCGCGTATGACTGAAGCGCGAAACGTGTGCTAAGTTTGATTATTGCGCTGTGCCAAAAAGCAAACGCAGCTGACAGATAATGAATATAGTTATCACGCTCGTCAAACAGTGTGTCCGACATAAATCAATCGAGATGTAAACAAAAAATTTTTAGGCAGGTGATTTTTGACAACTTTACAGATGCTTTGGAGCATTGGAGTGGCAGAGAGATCTTTTGAGGCCCACAGGAATGGGGAGGAGCTAATTATTACACTAAGAACTCTATAATTCTATTTTTGGGTCCCACTTACATCAGGAAAAATTGACAGATGGAGAGGCGGGCATTTATTGTATAAAAAAAAACACAATCTTAGAAAACTAGTATCTTCTTCATTTTTTCTTGTTCAATTTCACAAGTAGTTACACATTTGTTTTTTTCGCGACAAAGCTTTCGCAATTCTTCCCCGTCTGGCGAAAATCTTATTGGACAAGACAAATTCCTCTGTATCTCTCTCGCGCATCTATATTTTGTATTATATTATATTTTATTTTTACGTATCACTGATGGTTAACTCTATATTAGAGCTGTTGTCTAATCGATAGGATTACCTAGATCGGTAATCTTTCGATATATTATTTCTGATTGGTGAGATTATTCATTTGTGACAAGACGCAATGGAATCTGTTTAAGTGTCGCAAGCGGATAAAACTATCGTTCTGCAAAGTTATATATATTATATCACTGATGTACTCGATGGCTCGTTGTGTTTGCTACGCGAGCGAACAATACGGAAATTAATTAATGCCGATAAGGATTCAATTTTCGTCTACCTATATTAAATCCTGCTTATCGCAATCGTGCTCTTATCTACGTGCGAAGATATTGCCTCGCGAATAATCGTAAGAGAATAATGAGAATTGAGCACCAGCAATATTTTTAAATTTTATGAAAAACTTTCTCTTTCTAAAAGGTAACTTTTATAGATAAAAGTCTATCTATATTTTTAAAATATTTCTCGTAACGCGAAAAATGATTCTTTTTATTAAAAAGATCAAATTACGCCAAAATAAAAATTGAGTATTTTTACTTTTAATATATATCTTCAATATATATCTTATATTTTAGGTCTTCCTGAAAGGCCTATCTGTTTAAAAAGAGATTATTTCTCTTTTAAAAATATAAATAAAATTAAACAATTTTACAAGAATAAATATCTATTACGAGAGCAACAGCAAGACAAATGACAATCTATATTTAAAATCTATATTTAAAATATATTTTAATAATGTATAAAATCTTTTTAAAAAGATAATATTTGATAACGAACAATATTTCCGCGATTATTTTAAAATAAATGCTAGATTTAAAATTATATCAGAGCTTGACAATACCAAACCATAAAAAAACGAGAGAGGAATTATATTGCTATGAAATTATAATTCGAGTATTAATGTGTAATCCCTTCGTGAGACTACGCATTGTGCTTATGCAAATTCTGATATAAGCAAGACCTTACGAGCGGGCAGCTTATATAATTGTATCTTTTTTCACATTCAAAATTTCGTACTCTAGTCTTGATCATCGTAAACCTATTCTTTCGAGATATTTGGTAAATCTCTCAATTAATAGATTCTCTTGCGGACCGCGTTTGATCGCTACTTGAATAATACGAATATTAACAGTGCAAAAAGATCTTAGGAGCATCACATGGGCAGCTATCAGCAGGTCGTCGTGAGTAGTCAGGGGTCCATCGCGAAGGAACGGCGCGGCAGACGGCTCTTCGCGGCATTGAACGTCCGAAAATTCGTCTTCGCGGTAACAGGCGTGTTTCGCGTACATGACGGTAAGAACTACGAGCAAGTACGCTAGGAACCTACGGTGATACCACAGCGTCTCGTGATTGTCGTACATGACGATGAGCTGATCGTTATACCAACATTCCTCCGCCCAGTACGACAACGCTCTTAGGTAACACCTGAGTTTTTGAACATCGGTGGGCGAATAACCGTCGACCCGGCGCGCGAATATGTCGCGAATACGTTCTAGCAACGTCCGTTCATCGTCGTTCGGTTCGTAGAGGTTCATGTAGACGAACAGATTGTCGTGTCTGACGGTGTCGTCGTCATTCATCTCCGTTTCCGAGGACACCATTGCCAGTATGCACTTCCGCAGCAGAAATTGCCGATAGGAATGAGCGCTATGGTCGGACACGTGTCGTCGGCACCAAGCGAGAGTACTCCTCCACTCGCTCTCGAGACTGGGATGCCGCAAACCGCGTGACTCGCACAGGGCGACCAAGTGACGCCGATAGCTCCACGCGTGGTAGTTGTTCGCGTAACGATCGGCGCAGGTCTCTGCGAGCTCGACCTCGGCGCTCGCGAGGGGCGAGACCCCGGGTTCGGCGACGTGGTTCCGCTCGGCGTCCAGGGCGTGCGACATCAGCCAGCCCCGATACGCAAAGGCCTCGAAGTTCTTCGGCGTGTGATAGAGCACCGGTCGTGTGACGGACAGCTCGTCGCGCGCGTCCAACCTGCCGGCCCGCACCAGCTCCCGCCGCATATTCCAGAACGTGGTCACGTTCGGATTTAGCAGCAAGGCACCCAGCAGCCACCTCGCCACCGTGCTGGGCTCCTCGCGCCGTTGATGACGCGTCCGCCGGTACTCCAACAGGCGCCGATAAGCGTATACGTAGAGCGGCTGAACGCACCACGACGCCAAACCCAGACTGTCCTCCTGGTGAAACACCGGTGACCGATTCTCGTTGTCCTCCATCGGCACGATGACGAAGCTTTTTCTGGGAAGGTAGAAGTCGCGATCGTAAATTTCTCTTTGTCTCTCCTTCTCTCTCTCTCTTTCGCTCCTCTCTCAGTCTCTCTCTCTCTCTCTCTCTTTCGCTCCTTCTCTTTCTGATTTTGATGAAAATATTTTTGAATTAATATAAAGAATATATAGTTGAAAAATATACGTATACACCTGATACTGCTGATCGAAATTTTGAATATTATGTACTTTGAAATTTCTTATTAATCTGATAAAAAAATGTAATGTTTAACGATTTTAATAAATCTATGTATGTAACAAATATTTCTAATAATATTCTTAATAATATTAATTATTATTACAATAAATAATATTGCTATAGTATATTTTTTTATAGAGTATCTTCCTGAATATGAGAGATATAAAAAAATAAAATTATATAAATATTGCTATATTTTTATATGGAATATCTTTTCCTAAATATCGGATGAGAGATATAAAAAAATAAAAGTTATTAACTTTTGCAGCAATAGAAAAATTGAATATACTGCACTTATTAAACGATTAATTCGATATTATCGATAATAACACTAATATATGTTACTAATATGTGTCTCTAAAAGTGTGAACTATTATATCTACCGATAAGAATTATTAATAATACAGCATCGTGTATGCCGCAATGCACCGATATAAGAATCGAGATTTTGTCTCGCGCTGATGAATTTAAAAGTATTGTCGTGCTCGACCCTGACCTTCATCCATTAATCCAACAATACAAACAATAGTCTATTAACTATCGATACGACATAAATTATTGAAGATGATTTGCAAGAAAACATTTATAACAATTCTTCTCTCGATAAAGATTCAATTCTATGCTCTAGAGAAGCCCTATGTGATATGATCCTGCTTGACATCTTGAAAAGAGACGTGTAGCGTTTTATTTCTTTCATTTACACAATGTTAAGATAACTTTATAATTATTACATTGCGAAATTAATCAATTTCTCTCCGGACGAGACTTAAAATATCAGAAATTGCGTAAAATACGTAAAATTCTTCTCGCGATAGTCAACACAAACACTCGAACTCGAGATAAAAATAATGGAGCAATTAAGTCGCATTACGCAAGTGGAATTAAGGATTGTAAACAAGCCGCGATTATTAACGCTCGATGCTCCCCGGATGGCGCTACTTGACGAGCGCCGGACGCGGCCGATTATTTGCCACGCACCTCGACCCTGTTTCTGTTGTACCACGCTTTCCCGCTTTATCTTTTTTTCCGATCGTAATCGAACGCATGTTTATTTTAAACCTAAGCTCTCGAGCGAAACTGGGATAATGAAACTGAGCGCGTTCTCGATGCAAGATTGATTAAGAACGATTTTTTATTTTTAATGAGCTTTTATTTCATTCAAAACACTCGAAATTTTCATGCGTCATTTTGTTTTATTATAAATATATTTAACTTCACGTATTAATGAAAATTATATTATATAAAATTAAAATAAAGCATTAATATGATGCTCGAAAATTACTTTTCATATTATGTATTGATTAAAAATGATTTTAATGAAAGAAAAGAATTGATTTTAACGAGCTTTTATTTAATTGAAAACACTCGAAATTTTCATGCATTATTTTATTTTATATTATTACGAATATATTTAACTTCACGTATTAATAAAAATTATATTATATGTATATAAAATTAAAATAAAGCATTAACATGACGCTCGGAAATTCTTTTTCATACTATGTATTGATTAAGAACGATTTTTAATGAGCTTTTATTTCATTGAAAACACTCGAAATTTTCATGCGTTATTTTATTTTACATTATTACGAATATATTTAACTTCACGTATTAATAAAAATTATATTATATGTACATAAAATTAAAATAAAGCTTTAACATGACGCTCGGAAATTTCTTTTTATACTATGTATTGATTAAGAACGATTTTTAATGAGCTTTTATTTAATTGAAAACACTCGAAATTTTCATGCGTTATTTTATTTTACATTATTACGAATATATTTAACTTCACGTATTAATAAAAATTATATTATATGTATATAAAATTAAAATAAAGCATTAACATGACGCTCGGAAATTCCTTTTCATACTATATACATTCTCTAAATACACATCGAGCTAAACAAGCTTAAGTGAGCTAAATAAGCTTAAGAAAATTAGTTTTAATTACTCTTGAAGCAAGATTGTGAGAGATGAATGTAATTTGTCACGATCAACGTCTAATTGTTGCACTGCAGTGTCTCATAAATCAACGTACATAAAAAAATAATTTCAAAGAAATTTATATAAATGAAAATCTTGATACGAATAAATAATTTATTTTTCCTAACTCGACAAAAACTCCAACGGAGAATTCGCGACAGTATCGGATGCCTGAACGAAACGGTTAATCTCAAATCGAGTAGCTCTCCCTGAGCATTTCCCATCTAAATACTTGATAGATTACAATCTAGAGCGGCGGTCAATTGCGGTTTGCAACGCGTGTGTCGGCTGGCAATCGACTCACAGTCAACTTCGCGATTATTATTGCCGTAGCGTTGCCGTAGCGGCGAGTCGCGTGGGCGAAAGCTCGACGCGAGATCGATCGTCGTCGACTTGAAATCGCGAGGTCGACTCGCGTCGCGACCGACCACAACTTTGCGCGATCTCGCGGTACACGCGTCGCTTTCTTTTCTTTTTTTTATTCCCTTCCCTCGCCCCCTCCCACGACGACTCCGCCCACGCAACCGCGCGGGCAGGCCCGGCGGCGCACGGGATGCGTGTTTTGTTGCCGGTTTGCGGATGCTACGATGTGCGGACCTCGAAAACTGGGCCCTCGCACGCGAGACGTACGCGAGATGTTACTTAGGTTAGGATTCTCCTCGCGATATCCGCGGTGATTTTAAATCGATAACACGTACGCCTGCTCCTCCCGCGCACACGCACTTTTTTCTCATACATATACTTTCCGGACATTTGAAATAAAAGCAACGTAGAGCGTGTATATTTAGATTTTGGGCGGAGGAAGAGGAATTGTGAGGCCCGGACGCGGAAAACGCAAGTGGAAGGAACGAAGGTAACCTCGCGAATTATGACGTTATTTCGCGAAGGGATATATCGCAAGTTAGAATTGCGCCGAGTTTAAACACGCAGAGGTAATTTCGTTTGAACGCGATCATCAGTGAAGGACATTGTTTTTTCGCGCACCTCTCTCTCTCTCTCTCTCTCTCTCGCTCGTTCGCTCGCTCGCTCTTTCTCTCTCTCTCTCCCTTTCTCTCTCCGATATCGGAAATCTAGCTCACGGAGTCTACCGGTTCCGGATCTTTGCCTCCCGCGAGAAAACGGAAGGACGGAAACGAGGCGACAAAACGCACGCCCGGACGTTTTCCGTCAACCGAGTAAAAGGTCACACTCACATGGAAGGATTCCTCCTGATCGTGCTCTCGATGTCACGAAGGATCTTCTCGGCGGCCGGGAACTCGTTGTCCACCATCGTGTGAGCCGCATCACACCTCCCTCGTGGATGTATATCCATCGACGGCGGATGCGCCAGTGGCCGCACCACCCTCGCGTCCCTTCCTACCCTCTCTCTCTTTCTTTCTTTCGTTTCTTCTTTCAGTCTCGCCGCCGCACGGCACGTCCCGTTGCGACGTACAACGGTGCGGCACTTCGCTCTGCGGAAGCGCTGGCGGAGTACGATGCGACAGCCACGCTCGGCTGCGCGTGGCGCGAACTTAGCCGCGAGTCGGCCCCGGGCGCGTCGCCCAGGTTCGCCAACATTGCGCGCTCGATAGGCGGCCCCGACGAGAGCGGGGGGAGCACTGAATGCACCACGTCAATTTTTCGCGAAAAAAGAATTCGCGAAATTCAATATGTCGATTATTCTTTACAATTAGAATTTATTCCAATTAAGCGAATGTTTCTTGAAAATATATATATACTCGTCGTTTTTCGATCTATCTTCTATTTAGTATCATTTCTTGAATTTTTCATCGTTATTATATTTTATTATATAAATGTAATTTATATTATAAAATGTAATAACGATTAAATATAATAAATATTATATTTAATCATTATTATATTCGCGAAAAAAGAATTCGCGAAATTCAATATGTCGATTATTTTATACAACTAGATTTTATGAAAATGTATTCCAATAATTAAGCGAATGTTTCTTGAAAATATATATACTCGTCGTTTTTCAATTTATCTTCTATTTACTATTATTTCTTGAATTTTTCATCGTTATTATATTTTATTATATAAATGTAATTTATATTATAAAATGTAATAACGATTAAATATAATAAATATTATATTTAATCGTCATTATAAAATATAATAAATTATATTATAATAAATTATAATTTAATAAATTATATTATATTTAACCGTCATTATAAAATATAATAAAATATAATAATATAAATGTAATTGACATCATTAGAAAATATATCGCAATATTCATAAACAGAATATATAAATCTGTCAACATAAGTTAGAAAATATACTATTTTGATCGATATTTCTTATCGACCTGCGGAAAATTATCGTGTTATCTGAGCAACGGTAAACGTTCGATATATTTTTTTCCATGACAACAAAACAGAAAAGTAGTACACGAAGCAAACGAATGAAAATCAAATTAGTTCAGCGTTCTTATCAGACTCGTGATAACGATAATTCTACGTATATACCTTGCTATTCACTGTACGATGACTCGAAGTCTCGCGATATCCACTTGAAGATCACGATAAAAATTATTACGGCGAAATAAAGACGCGACGAAACACAACGGCCGTCACGAGTGGCCGCCAAAATGTAACGCGATGAAGTACGTAACGATCCGAACATCGACGAAGGTGACCGATCGACAGCTGCAAACGTCAAACGGTCGGCTGGATGAGTGAAGTGCGCGCGCGCCTGAAGCGGAATTCTAACCTCCCCGTCTCGTCGAGGTCAACGCTACGATTTTATTTCTCTTCTCGCCTAATAAGGCAAGGGGTGGCAAGGATATAAAAAAATCACAAAGGAATAAATCTTCGAGGCTTCTCTTTCGAGAAATAAATATTTGCGCAAACATACGATAAATAATGTCCGATCCGCGTATAAGAACACTCAAGATTCAGACAGGAGTAGTTAAGCGCCTTGCGAGAGAAAAGATCATGTACGAGAAGGAAGCGACGCAGCAGCGCGAAAGAATACAAAAGTTAAAAGAGCAGGGTGAGGATTGGTTTTAGGCACGAGGAGAAAAAGGGCGACAATATTTCGCGCGTGAAATTCGTCTGCGTAATAAGTTTGAAGAGATATTGTAACTAGATTCGCCCAATATAATTTGCAAGTACCTGTTTAATGTCCAAAATATGTATTCGTTAAGATACTTAGATAGGTTTAATGCTTATTGTGTGTTGTATTTTTCGAAATATTTTCTCCTTTTAATGTTTAAAATAACGTTATTAGAGTATTACTGCTAAACAGATTTTTAGTTACACAAAAATAAAATATTCTGTTATAGATAAAGATGGTTACGATATTAGAAAGCAAGAGGAGGTGCTTCAAGAATCTTTGATGATGGTACCAGATTGTCAAAGACGTCTCGTTAAAGCATTTGAACAACTCAAAAGCTTTCTGGACACTGAACAAGATTTGAAGGAAATTGAGGATTATATCGAAGCTGGAAAAGTATTGCAAGAGGCAGAAGCACAATTGCCGAAAGAAGGGGACATTTTGCAAATGTGTTAAAAAGTGTTCTCTCTGTGACTTTTGCTAAATTATTTTTTAAATATTCCACAATTATTTTTCACTCTTACTAATTTTCTATGTTCGAAACTAATTTTACACTTAAGAACGTTATAGCATCAAGTTTTCTTCTTATTGCTCTCAATTGGATTTATATTTAACAATTATGTATAGTGGTCAATCATCCCAGCAAAATACTGGGCAAATTTACGAAAATATGCATTTTAACATGTATTATCCAACAATTCAACAACCATTTGCATATAATGCAAATTACAGCAAAAATATGTATTATAATATTTATCCAAGCCATGTAACATGTGATAACACTACAGTTAATAACGCGACATTAGTAGATAGAATAAGAACACGACAAGAAGATGAAAAAGCCATTGAACAATTCCTCCAAGATATAGAATCACAAATTTCAATCAAAAGCAAACAGAAAAATCCATTTAAAATTGCGACTATTAAGAGTGCATTAATATCGGTGACTAAATTAAATAAGCAGCTTGAGATTGTTTGCGCGGAACTTGAAGATAACATTAATTTATCAGAAATGCAATGGCAGGAAAAAGTCAGTGCCTGTAATGCTGTAAAGCATGAAATTTGTGAAATATTGAAAACTATAAAAGATGCAGATTTTCTAAATAAAGTTAAGAATGATCTAAAGAAACGCAAGAAGAAACGTATAAGGGAACAGCGTAGAAAGGAGGAATGGAAAAAGGAAAAATCAATGAAAGAAGAAAGAAGAGCAAGATTACACGCAGAGGCTGATTCGTGGATTCGAAAGGAACAAGCAGTAATCGAACAAGAGAAACAAGAGAAAAATTTGCTCAGAGACGCGGATTTGATTTTGTCCAACGTTCGCAGTAAAAGAAACGATGCCCGAAAATATTTAGGAATTTTGCAAGAATTGCAAAACTTACGAAACATCAAGGTGACAATTGCTCGAGCAAGAGGCGAAAAATTATCCTCTGCAACTGACGAAACATTCAAGCATGACATCGGTAATATTTTATATCCTCCATAGATGTTAAACTTTTTTACAAAATAATGACATGACACTTTTTAAGAAATTGAAAATATGCACACACATAAATATAAAAGCAATATAAAAATAATTTTAAAAAGTAATATAGAAATAAATTAGTAAAATGATGGAATAGAAACATATAATAGAATACAATAAAAGAAAATAAAATTTCTACTTATATAACATTTTTTATAAAAATATATATTGTAAATATTATTTTTAATGATATTTATGTCATTAAATATATTATAGCAAAAATAACAGAACATTGGACTACTTTGGATCGTGAATATGCAACAGAAGAACAAGAATTGAAATTAATGCTGAAAACAGATAATGAGGAAAGAATTGAAAAAGAAACAAAAAATTTATTTGCTGATTGGGAAAATGTGCTATTCGGAATAAATATATTGGCTGCTGATCAATCTCACAAAGATTTAGATAGTTTTATCTTGATTCGGTATGCATTCAATGTTCAAATATATCAGATATATAACATATCAAAAATCTTTTTCAATAATAAAAATAATTATTTGCATTTCAGTACGGCTTGGGATAGATTTATAAGTTCTGAAAACGATGCAACAACGATACCGATTGGATGGATAGTGCCTGAAAAACCATCTTCTGCCGCGTGGCAAAAATGCCTCAATAAGGATACATCTTAAAATAAACGAATGATGCGTTAATGTAAGTTTAAGAAATAAACAATTTGATATGCTATTAAAATTAAGAGCCCTATATGATTTAAATAAAAATTATCTGGAAAAGATTTTTTTCCTATGCTTTACAAAACGTATTATATATTTAGAAAAAAAATTATTATTTTAACATTTGAAAATTAATATAATTTCTTACTTGTAATAATCCAAGTTTTCACTAAGAAATAGTGTAAGTTTAAATGATGAAACTATTTAAATATTTTTTTATTTCAAAAAATGTAATGCTTGATGAAAATTATGTACAGGAAACATTATTTTACAATTTTATGATATTTTGCATCTATTAAGCTTATGTTATACTTAAGACGAGATCGCGTTCCGTTTGAGCGGCGTTTGACGGCTCCATATTCTGATTCTCTTTTACAGTAGGTAAAGGAATTGTTTCAGCACTAGACAATATCATTTGCATTGAACCTTGTAGTTGTGTCAAGGCTACAATTAATTGCTCTTCCTCCTGCAGTTTTTGTGCTAGTACAGCAAACATTTTTCGTGATTCCTCCGAGAGTTCATCTAAGTGATCTTCATATACATCTATCACGAAAGAACAAATTTTATTGACTAAAGAAACACGCGAGATATCTTGGAAAAGAATCGTAAGAAAAAATATTTAAAACATACCTAACAAAACATTTGCTACATGCAATAATACTCTTCCGAAACGGATACTACCGATATATTTATTCAAGAACTTAATGATATTGACCAGAGATTTGCCGTCTCTACCGGCCAAAGCTCGTCTTAAGCCTTCTCGTCTAATAAGTTCCTGTGTTAACGCGACAGTGACGTGTGGCGTTTTGTTGACTACATAATTCATCATGACGCAATCGAGCGCTTTACTGTATTGAAACTTTCGCAGACAAGCGTCATGTTTGCTCATTATCTCCTTGACTTCCTGCTGCACGACTACGTCGATGCTCCGTACGTGTAAATTTTCGCCCGCATGCCTATACGAAACTTTACGTTTCGGTTTTATCACGTCTTTCGTATCTTCCTCACGTCTCTTAACAGAAATAAGACCATCGACCATACCAGCTACGACAGTCTCATCGCCCTCCTGCAATTTAATATTAATGCATCTAGTATCCATTTTTATCAACTAAATTTAATCACAATAAATCACAATAAATCAAATATTATTAAATGTAGATGCAAACATAGATTTTAATATATAACATAAAATGCATTTTTTCCTACACTAATTCCTATGCTGAGAACTGCATTGGGATAGTCTAAAGTGTGAAGTGTTTTATATGTCCCAGTGTCGTAAACCTTAACATGCCTATCCAATGAACCAGACAATATTCTACGACCATTGGAGGCAATTTTCAAACAAGTCACTGTTTTGTGATGTTGAGTGATCTTTGCGAGTAATTTGCCTCCTGCGAGAGCATCCCACACTTTGATATCAGTTCCACCTTAAAATGAACATTTTATTACATAAAAGATCAAAATCTTAAATTACACAATTAACGAGTATATTGCAAAATATATATTCATTAATTATATATAAAAATTATTTTTTCTTTTATTAATTTTCTTTTATTAATTATATATAAAAATTGATTCTTTTAAATTATACCTGCAGACAGGAATATTCCTCCAGTTGGTAAGAAGAGTAAACTCTCCACAGGTGCATCGTGATTGACACTAAGTATCTTTTTATTTGTTCTGGTATCATACATATGTATAATCTTGTCATATCCACCAGATAATAATACATCAGTGGACACAGGACTAACTGCACCAGCTCTGATATAATCAATATGTTCGTTAAAACTTGTCAGCTGTTTTTCGCTAGCTATATCCCACAATACTACAGTTTTATCGTCAGAAAATGAAGCAATGTGAAGATTATCGGCTGTGAAGAAAGCTCTGTGCACTGCAGCTTTATGTCCGGAAAAAACTCGTAAAGTGCTATTGGAACCAATGTTAAAGAGTCTGACCACTGTTTCCTCGCCACCAGCGCATAAAAGCTTACCATCTCCGCGAAAGCAGCCTCCATATGCAGCTTCTTTGAACCTGCTGTAAGTTTTTGTTACTAGCTTTGTAATAGGATTATATATCTGTACTCGTACTGAGCAAGTAACTGTGAAATAATGTGGTTCTACTGGCGAAAAGTCAATGTAGTCTATTGGACCAAATTCTTTTACTAAAACTGGTGGCTGTAAACATATAACAAATAATTTATCATTTTTTTTATATATATACAATTTACTGTTATACAACAGAAATTAAAAAGTGATCTTGTATCTATGTTAATTATATGACAAATATGAAAGAAACATAATTGATAAAGCAATTTTGTATAAAAATATCACAATCAACAATTTATGATAAAATATCCTTAATGTTGAAAAAAAATTTTATTTATTTTATAAGAACGTATAATTTTCTAAACATTGCACAAGTAACTCAATAATTAAGCGATTGCATATTAATCCAGATTAATATTAAGATCTATGTCTTAAGGAAGAAATGTGCAATATTTAATATGAATTTAATATCGTTCTCAATCAAAAAAAGGGCAGCAAATGTGTCTTTCAAATTAATTCATAGGTTATGTTCCGCGCACGTGTCGATAGAAATCATCTTCAATCACTCTTTTATCAAGCAAATCCTAAATACGTACTGTATATTTCTTCCAATATATATTATCCTCTGTCAATTCTGGCCCCGCCCTGGTGTAGACTTTAGTATTTATTTTTTTAAAGGACGTCATTTTGAAAATACCAACAATACATTTCCATAAAGAAGCGCATAAAACATGTTAGTCCGTTCCTTGTAATCACAATGTCTGGAGGTGTGTTCCATCCGAAGCTACAAAATTGAATCGTTTAATGAAAAGAGTAGAATTTCCTTTGCTCCGATTGGACAAGGATCAGACGAGAAGCTCCGTAATTTTTCGTAACGTCAAACGGAAAGAACTAATAGGAGAGCTCGTTTCCTAGTGATTCTAGTTAGCAATATTTTCGAACCTAGAAACGAAACTTTCTTATTGGACGTCAGATACCGATAGGTAATTGCGCATAATTTGTGCTTGCTTAGGACAAATTTTTCATCATACATACGCGACACGAACCGCCTGAATAGCGCTGTACGGAAAAGGGAGAGGGGAGGGGGAAGCTCAGATGATCTGGGACGAAGGGGGGGGACGGTCAAGCTGATGTTGACAGTTGTGGAAATGTGCGTGGTGAAGAGCCCCCGGGGATCATCGCGCACGTGTTAACGATGCCGATCGCTACGGTCAAGCTGTCAAAATAAATGTCACCATTTCCCGGGGATACGGGATCGGGACGGTATCGATATCGAGGCTCGTCGACGTTATTAAGAAGCTGAAGTATCGCTTTCAACATGGCGGTGTCGTCGTTCGCGCAGTTACCCCGTGCATTTCTCCGCTCGTCGTGACCACGCTGGATCGTCCTGGCTGCACGTAATCTCCTCGAATCGAAAGATCTCCGAAATACCGGTGGAGGGATTGCGTGCGTTCGGATGAGAGAGCGCGGTTACAGAGATCGTTTTATCGACACAACGACAAGGGAAATGAGTATCGCTTGACAGCCACGATTGACCTTCCTTCGTAAAGCGACGATACTGCGTTCCAGGACGAGTATATACTTGGTGCGAGACGCTACCGTGTCTCTTGATCCATCTATTTGTCTCGAGACATACTCGTACTGGACATCTGTCGGGACGAAGAGGACGTTTTTTTCGGCTCTGTAAATATCACTGGACCGTGAATCGACGCCTTGCAACTCTCCCATGGCATTATTCTCCTACGGGAAACTAATTAACTGCTACGGTAAGCGATGCTTCGCCTCGTCAGGATTCTTCAGGATGAATTTCCGAGGCGAACAGTCGCGCTTGACTATTCATTACTTCAATGTCCAGAGATGTCATTTTTGTCAAAGAAAATGTTTAGGTGATAAAAATGTATAAAGATTTAAAAAAATATGCAGATAAAATAAAACCTGTTTTAGAAAAATTTTATTTTTGTTTTTTTTTTTTCGTCGATTGAATATTATCAAATTTATATTGTATTCATTATATCACATTGTTAGAATTTATCATAACGAAACATTAATTTTTATCTTATCTTCTCATGGAATATTGTTATCAATTTTCTATTAAAGTTTCCAGTATTGTTATTTTGATATAATGTTCTATGACAATCCTTTTAAAAATTTAAAAAGTTTATATTGTATATTATGTTGTTACAAAAAATATATTTTCAAAGATCCCTACTAATTAAATTTCTCATTGATTATTTTAGATTGAGTCATATTCGACATACCTTGGTAAATTGTGTCTTGTGACAGCCTACTTGCATTGTTATTTAAATAAAATATTTTCTATTTTAACACTGTATTGTGGAGAAATTTATACTTGATTTATTATAATAAATAATAGTCCAATAAATTTCTCTTAAAACAATCTAGAAGCTTGCATGAGAAACAGCTGGATTAATTTATAGAACATGAAAATTTTATTAATTTATTTTCAGAGAAATTAATAGAAATAATTTTTTATTTTAAAAGATCTACATCGAGAAAAAGATTCAATTGAAATGATATAATTATCAAATATTTAATTTCAAAGTCAAAAAATTGTTCTTATCAGAAACAACTTTCTCTTTCTCTTTTCTAAAGTTTTTTAAATATTTTTAAACATATAAAAGATTTGAAAGTGATTCTATCGATTCGGTCTTAGCAACTTAATCTATCAAAATTTTATAACTAAATACATTTGAATAAAAAAAGAGAGAGAGGAAAAAGAAGCGAAAAGAAAAACGTCAAAAGTAGCTATATATTTGTAAGAGACTGTTTATAAAGATATTGTTCGAGTTGTACATTGCCAATATCATTTTTCTTTATTTGTGTTTACATGTAAATGATCACTCTCAACATCATTCTTAAGTTTATTAATAAGACTTTCCTGTTCAATAATAATATTCAGTGTTCCTTGCAAGTTGCCTGAATAATTGTAAAGTCTCCGTTAAATTTTTAATTACTATAATGGCTGAGACACAAAGAATGACTGTATACGGAAGACATCCTCCATGCGCCAGTAATAGCAGATTGGAGGAACGTCGGGCTAAGAGGTAAATGTGTGTGAAAATTATTATATATTATATATCAGTTTTAATATACTTTGTTTGAGCATCAATAAATTCTTCATTCTTTCCAGATTGGCATTACGACATGAGAGAAATCGAAAGCCGGACAAACCAGATGACTTTGTGTGTTATGAATCGAGCGACGATGAAGCGGAAACGGTGACCGAAGGCAAACAATTCCTGAGAACGTCATTCAATTTTGTGGATTACGTGCGTGCACGTGAAACGAACACGCGCGAAGTGCGAAAAATCAATCAGGAATATGGTTCCCGACATATACTGACACATGATCTGTTCAAGGAGTATTCGGTCAGCTTGAACAACATGAATAAAGTGTTCTGTTCGCAATGGTTGAGTGACAGACAAGTGGTATTTGGAACAAAGTGCAATAAGCTTATGGTATATGACGTAGCAACGCAGAAGCTAGACCAGATTCCATCTCTTCACGGGAGACAACTCAGTCCGGGTGGTAATGTTATGCCCGAGCAACAATGCGGCATTCATTCCGTTCAAATCAATCCTTCGAGGTAATTTCACATGCTTTTTCACTCTTATAGAAAAAAGATTTAATTTTGTAGATCTATTAAAAATGTTTGATTCATACTTCTCTTTCTTGTAGAACACTTTTATCCACCGGTGCGAGAAATAGTAATGAAATAGCGATATACAGATTACCGACTTTGGATCCGGTTTGCGTCGGCGAGAGTGGCCACAGGGATTGGGTGTTTGACATGTGTTGGCTCGACGATGAATTTTTAGTGTCGGGCTCTAGGGATACGAAAATGGCACTGTGGCGTATTGATAGTGATCTCGCTGAAGCTCCTGACAAAGCGGATGTGCCTACACATAGGTAAAATCAAATCTATTATTATGATTTTTGATATCTTTATCTCAATACATTTAATTTTACTATTTTTTAAATATTTTTTTTATAATGTCATATTAGAATTATAAAACAAAAAATTAAATTTAAATGAAAAGTTTTTACTTATTAATAATTTTTAGTAATCTTATTACTTACTGTTTATAGATTGATTCAGCCTGTCTGTGTAAAGGAATGCAAGTCTGCTCAGAAAGTACGGGCGTTGGCATTTAATAAAGCATACAAAGAAATCGCAGCATTGACGCTCAATAGCTTTATACATATCTGGTCGGCCGAATCCTTCAAACAGAAAATATCCAGAAAACTGCCAGCCTGTCAGGAAAACGTGTGTCTCGCCGTACAGGATGATGGTGTTTATGCGATTGGATGCAGATCTTACACTCTTCTTCTGGATGCACGTACTTTGCAGCCGATTAAAAAGATACCTTCAAGGTAAATAAAATCTTCTTCCCTCTTTTTCCTGATAATTTCAACTTTGCTTAATAATACTTAATATATTTATAAATCTTGAATATTTTATTGATACAGGTACAGTGGTTGTGGTATCAGATCAGCAAGTTTTCAGGGATCTGTTCTAACTATTGGAACTGGTTTAGGAATGCTTATGTTTTATGATGTTAGAGCTCAGAAATATCTAGAATCTTCTATAAACTCTAATAGAACTGTTGTATTAAAAGCTTCAAAAGGATATGTGGTAAGTTTTATATCATCTAATACAGTGATTTATTCGTTTGCATTGACAATTAATTTTACATAATTATTTTAATATATTGTAAGATGTATTTTATTGATCATTACAATTTCTAAAACAACTTTAGATTAAATTTTTAAATCACTGTATATATCTATATGTATACTGTGTCTACAAAACTATCATCATGGAAAAATACTAATAATGATAATAAAAGAGCTATACGTGGCAGAATGTTTTTGAAATCGCGCCAACCTAATTATTCTATTTATTGCATTTTGTAGACACTTCGTATAATGCGTTTTATGGGTTATTATAAAATGATTTTTTCATTTCCTGAAATATCAGTTTCCTGATGAAGAATATATAGATGGTTTTCAAAATGTGAAGTATACACCTGCTATTTATACCCATTGTTACGATGCATCGGGTACCCGACTATTTACGGCAGGTGGTCCATTGCCTGCGAATCTATATGGCAACTATGCAGGATTATGGCAATGAAGGTATAAGATTAAGCAAATGAAATTAGTATAATAATTAATAAATTAAACTATTAAAATATAAATTGTATGTATGTCATGAAAGGCTTGATTGCTTGACTATATGACAGTTTGTATGTATTTAGCATTCTTTTAATGTTTTCAAAAGAATACGTTTGACAGTTTGTTTTTTATTTGTATTTTCAAATTATTCAATTTGTTAAGTTTTATTTTCTTCAAAATATATTTAACCCTTTAATTATGGGTCTATCTACAGTTATTTATTTTATTAAATAGTTAATAAAATAAATAACTGTAAATAAATACTTAATAAAATGAATAATTAGACCTGAGACAGCACAAACGTAAACAGAACCAATGAAATTATCAATAAGCGGTCTCCGCATCACAATATATGTTAAGATCTATCTATCTATTCATGTTTCATGATTTCGAGGTTCAAGATTTATGTTTTATAATCTATTGACAGCCATAATTAAAGGGTTAATCCAACATTACATGCAATTCGCAAGTAAAGACAATAATATGTTATGTCATAATTTCATAATTAAATCACAATTTAGATTTAAAGAAATTAATTTTTTTTCTGATTCTTCGTAAAGAAAAATATTCAATCTACAAAATTTAATGTTATTGCACTTTATATTTTAATAATGTGATAATTCGCGGTATATGAACAATTAATTCACAATTTATGAATTTATATATTTCGCAGGACCATGATATATATTTATTTATAAATCATAGAGAAGTCATGGTTAAAAAAATAAATTAACGCTGGCCGCTATTTTATTATGTGCGATTAATAATTTCAATGTATTATATTTAGATATTATATTTTATTATGAAATTAAACCATACATCTTCGCACGCTTTATAGCTATTATTTCGATTATTTCGTGTTAGTATGGCGTAAGTGTGGAAATTTTCATATTATTCAAGTAATATTAAAATAGCTTTATAAATTTTATAATTTTATGAAAAATGATTAATTAAAAGAAAGTTATTAGCAATATTAAAAAAAAGTTATTACCAATATTTCAGTTGATTATAATATCACGTTAATTATAATATATCATAATTGGAATATATCGCATTTAATATTAGGATATTTAATATTTTTTTGGAACATTTAAAATTTTCCTATTTCGTTTCAATACAATCCCGCACTGATAAATGGATTAAAGCTAAAATTCAATATACTATTAAAATTCATATGTGATGTACAATTATATTATATATTCGAAATTATTAAAATATTATTTAAAAAAGTTTGCAATTAAATTATTTCAAAATGCTTGTATTTGTGGAAGTAGCAATGATCATATTAAATTTTTCTTGTCGAATCTTTTCTCTCTAACCCGAATCTGATAAAGTAAATGTATTAAGTGACGTGTGAAATTTTGTGTTGTTAAATAAGCGAAATTGTGATTTCATGCAAATATTATAATACAACATGTATATGTATGCATTATTACACTTCTCCGAATGTTAATTATAATGCAGTTATATATAGCTGAATCGCTATTATAAAAAAAATTTCTCATGTAATTTATAGATTTATTTCTAATTTAAAACGGAGTATGTGTACATCTTTAAAATGATACGAGAAAAAAAATGACTCAACGAACATTATATATATAACAATGAATATTAATTTTTATCAAATACAAACACTATCGAGTAAACTTGAAATACCGGCCTCACACATAAGAGACAGTAACACGTAATAAACTTTTTTGAACGTAAACTTATTTTATAGGTATAATAATACCAAAATAAAATTTTTACCCGCATATATCTATCTTGTGTCATTATTGTATGACATTGCAAAATAATCTCGACTGTGAAATCTAGAGGTTTTTACTACGTGTATTAACTGCATGTCCGGCAATGAAAATGTCAATTTAGTGAAATAATAATTAAAACAAAATAATAATTTATAGATTATATTAATAGCACACAATTATCTGCGAAGAATATTTTCATTTTCTAAGAATATATTTTATATTCTTTCGTCTTTGTAAGTTTAATCCCGAATTAATTATTTTATTAGACATTTCATTTTCTTTGTCAGCGTTTAAAGTTTAGTTAATATTGAGTTTAGCGTGGATATATAAATCTGACTGTTCAAGTTTGACCAAGCTTGTTGCCGAACGGTGTCGGCAGCTTTTGCCACGGCGTTTCGCACGTTTAGAGATTATTATCGATTACGAAGCTCGTGCATTTCATTTAACAACAAAAGACATCTGCATAATCTATGATTGTATAAGTGCCGGTGTTGTGTGTGCAATTGAGAGAGAAAAAGAGCATTTGTCTTTACTATACACGCATGTACCATATATATTCCCATTTCGTCTCATCCAAGTATCTTATAATGGTAACGTTAGTCGATAGAATTCGACGATTTTACGTCGAACAAGCTCAAATTCGATTCAGGAAGTAAGGCTCCCTCAGTTCAGCGATTTATATGCTGCATATAATGCGGTGTACTTAAGTAAGATTCACTCATTCAATCATCAAATCATGACACGTCGCGAATGCACGTTGTTAAGTCATGTACTACATAACGTATATATGTTAACAATTTATATATTCCCGACCCGCGCATACTTGTAAGATTATGAGTTGTTAACATATAATAATTACGGAGTCTCGCGATACTACATAAGGTAAAATAAATGTGTGCATTGTATCCGATAGCTCTGTAGCCTCTCACAGATACACGCTCATCTCTATATGTAAACGATCCGATAAACATACGTATACATGTAGCATTGGGGGACATGAAGCCGCACCGGGACATTTATTTCGTCAAAAAAAAAAAGAGAGGGATCCGTCATTATAATATAATCGCGAAAAATACTAGCGTATTACACTCCACGTGTGTATGCGTTCATGACATAGATATACTTAGAAATATTTAAATACAATATTTTGATGTCCTTGGCGGATGAAAATATTGTATGTGCAAAAGTTATTAAGTATCTCATATTCTCTGACGCGCAGATATTTAACATTCGATATTTTCGACCGAAACGTTCACAGCATCTAATAGCCTATTTTTATAAACAAGCAATAGTTAACGGATAGCCTTTCCGGAGACCTTCCTTAGCATCGTTTCATATCCAGAGATTATTTGGAAATAGGAATACACATACAAATCTCATTTGAAACTGCTGCCATTTTCTCGATATATATATCTCGATTCGTAAGAAGTAATAGACAAATGATAAATGAAACGCGATTTTATACTTAAAAACATTTGTACGATGTATATACGGTGCGTCGATGACATGTTCCAAATCTTTCAGTTGCATTATCTTAATAATAGCTATCATCGTAATGATAATAAAACATGTGTGGCAGAGTTTGTGAATTTCGATAATTTACCATGACACGAGGATATCTTTGCACGCGTGCTATGAAAACAGATAGCGAAAACGGCGGATGAATTATATCATTGTAACTTTATATATTTGTGCGACTTCGTATATCTATGTAAATAAATATACCAAGCTCTTGAGACTGACACATGTCTCGTATTTATCTCATTCTCTTTTCTCCGCAATCGCAATAAATACACAATTGATATTTATTAATAATGTATTAATGGCATAGTATATTCATACAACATTTTTAATATTGACAATCATCACAAATAACGTGTAAAGTGGGTGTATACCGCGTACAAAAGGCGCAAAAAGTCGGTAAAATTCTATATTGTTTTTCTCTACGATATCCTATGCTAATCATCAAGATCGCAAGTTAAATCAGATATGTGAAAATTGTTCCTTTAGTCGAGTGTCTTGTTACGCATGCGCATGTACAAAGCACTCAATTAGTGGACTGTGTCGGTCGTGACAAGCATCTCGCGTTTTTTACAACGTGTTCGTTTGCATCATCATACTGCTATCGAAAAGAAATAACAATATTGTGAAACGAAATAACATGGAAGCTAGAATAAAAATTGAAAAATATAGGCGCGATATAATCTAACTTATTTATAAAATATCCAAACGGGCTTACACAGCTATTAGCACATTTTTTTAACATTATAAAGCTATAACTCTTTTCAAAAATATATATTAAATAATTAAATATATATATAAAACATTTTTTTGAGAGGCGGTCTCGTTTCGGTAATAAAGTTATCTAAACGCGAAATCGTAAAAAAGGGAAATTAGGATACCGGTGTGTCGCGTGTCCATTGTTAATTTCTACCTTGAAAAGAGTAATCCTTTGTTCACGCAATCCACGCAATGGTACTATCATCCTTACAGGATAAGATTTAAAGTAGGAGAAGAAGGAGGGATGTGCTTTACACGTGCACGTCGATACTTGATCGAGCGGTTGATGGATCAATGGATTTATAAATTTCGCGAGAGCATCGCTGACTATTAAGATCCATCATGTTACATAGTCGTGATACCCGATGAATGCAAGCCGCTTCTTTTGCAGTAGGATTTTTAGCTTCACGACAGAATATTTTACAAAATCACAAACTGGAGTTCACAGAATTAGATTTCAGCGAATTTTTCGTCGCATCGCTATTTTTGCAATGATCATAATGCTGCAATTGCATTGCATATATAATTTCGTTACAAATAGAATTCAAATAAGATTACGACGAAAATTATTGAATCTAAGGCGAAGGTAACTTTACACATAATAATTAACTGAAATAAAAGGATAATATTTTGCATTCTTATTAAGCTATACAAAGAAATTATATGATCTTTTCGTCTATATAAATAACGAAATGATGAGCATAAATGGAAGTATTGTTGAATATTGAATCGCATTAGCACTCAATTTTAGAGAAAATGTGCAAAAATTTTATCCTCTATTTCACCTTACTTATTAAGCTAATTATATCCCTTTTTTGGTGTGGATTGCCGATTTTATCCTGCATATAAATATATTATGCGTAATTAACGCAGGTGTGACTGTATCCTTAAAATATAAGCGGAGTATTAGACAATTATTGCATAAATCAGTGAGCGAGTGGTCCGCGCTGAGTAGCTCGATCCAGCTACTGGTTAGTGGAAATGGTGTCGCGAGCAAGAAACACATTGTTTTTAATCTACCGCTATGAGAAACTATACTATCGTCACATTAAAAGTATACAACACGTTGTCCTTTTCTTGTCAAAGTGCGAAGTATCTTCACCTCTCCTTCATTCGCCTTCATCGATGAACTCGTCATCGATCACGATCGTGAAACCATCGTTGCCAAAGGAAATGATCATCCTCCTGGTTATCAAACCGCGTTATCGGTCGTCGATTCGCTTCTATCAAAGATGCACAAATATCGTCCTTGAAGAATCAAAGTCGCCTGGCGTCCAGCGCTTTGTTAAGATCACTGACTAGCATGCCGAGGACGGGTCTGTGCTCGGAATCATATCGGAATACCGAGTCCAAGAATTTCGGATACGTCAGGAAGTCGAATATCTGATCGCAACGTTGCAACGACTTGTCTGTAAGATGCGGTTTTATCAGTTCTTGCACCAACGATCGGCAACGTTCCAACGAGCCTATCAGGTACTCTTGGTCGTAACTGTAGTCAACCTCGTAGAATGACACGACTGTCATCGCCACTGTTCCCAGGACCTCTCGAAGCTCGTCCAGCTTCACGGCGTCATTCGGACGGAATTGATGACTGCGTTGCACGAGTCCGATCTACCGTGTTGTACAAAGTGATTTACATAGCTTACCAAGTTTATTTATATACCTATAATTTTAACTTAATGAAAATTTATATTGTATAAATAAATACAAAATTATATAATTAATTTACATTATAATTAGAATTGTAAAATATGAGCATTGTAAATCGTACATACATTTAATGATAGTTTATTTTACAACAAAAGTCCATTCAATAATAATCCAACTTGAAATTTTTCCAAATTATTTTGTCATTCAAATTACAAAATTTAATGTTTTATTAAAATTTGATATTTTATCAGGTAAGTTAATAATATAACCAATATTGATTAATGACAATAAATATGAAATTTCACTACATTTATATGAAATAAAAATTCATTCTTAAAAAGTATTTAAATACAAAGTATTTAATCATGAAGATAATAATAATTAAATCTTGAGAGATAGAGAATCTTATTTAAACCATTAAAACAAAGCAAATTAAAGAGATAAAACTTGTAAACGATATATACACATATATTTTTTTTATTTAATATAAGCCCTAGTTTTATTGAAAATATTTTCTCAATGATTTTAAATTCAAATTATGCTTCCATATTTTCAATATTTTAATTGAAAACAGATATTTAACTTAAATTAAATAAAAATTATACGTTAAATAAACTTCTCATGAAGTTTTATTTAAATCAATTCTCTATCCATAGAATATATCATAAGAAATTAAAGCTTTTTGAAATGCTTTATACCTTAATAATATAGTAAATATAATAAATGACTCATGAAATTCTACTTAAATCAGCTCTTCAAATTCAAAAAAATATATCATAAGAAATTAAAGAATTTGGATTTTCTAAAGTGCTTTATACCTTAATGGACAATTTAACGATATTCTTGAGGACCTTCTCGGGTTCCTTTTTATCCATGTGTGGGTTGCTCTTAGTGACGCTCTCCATGAGCTTGTAAAGATTATCGAGCAACGACGTCGTGGCGTCGTCGATGAAAAGCGACCGGCCGGCACCGGTGGACACTATGCGACCCAAAAGCTTCTTCTGAGCGCGCAGCCCCAAATCGCGAGTGCGACTTCCGGTTCCGCTGCCGGTTGTATACGATCCGCCACCGCCACCGCCACTTCCGATTGTATTCGCCGACTGCATCACTGTAATATTTTGCACGATAAACGACTGCCGCACGTGCGTCCCACCGTATATTTGACCCGCATTCTCCCTTTTGTTTAGCACTAAACACAACCGTGCAATTCCGAGTTTATTCGCTCGAAACGAAACCGTCCTCGCGTCCAATAGAAATTATTAATATGATATATAAATCATAATAAATATCATTCGTCCAAATTTTTTCTGTGTATATACATAATCATATACTACGTTTACTTAGTTTCGTATTTGAAGCTAGAAATGTGACAACTAATATGATATTAAAATAATTAATATAATATTTTCTTAAAAATTTTATTTATGATATAAATTCTTTCGTGTTAGAAATTATATATTTATATAATTTGCAAATATGTTATATTTACATGTAATATATAATTGCACGTTTAACGTAACTGTAACGCCTCAATCAGCGTTAAATATGTGGTAAAAAAGCGGGTCACATCCTTCCCCCTCAAACAATTTAATAATTCATTCTGAGCGGAACACAAAAGAATTGCACGGTCGAATGTGGCACAAAAGTAGAAAGTTTGAAGAACTTATTGTTAGAAAGACGAAACATTGTAATTTCAGCCTCTTGAGAACAGCATGAAAGCGTCTTATCTCGAGCATCACCTACGATTGTGTATATGTTATTGTGCGTGTTTCGTACGATGAACTCACCGTCAAACATCGGTAGACCACCGTTTCCTCTGGATCGTGATAGTGGGATGGAAAATTAAATAAAGAAGCGGCGAGAGGGCTGTATGTGTGAATAATGGTCCGGCAAACTCAGGCAAACGTAACTAAAATAACCAAGGGTTAAACGAAACAAATCGTTGGCGTAACATAAATGTCGCGGGTTCATAGAAGTGTGCGAGACACGACGACAAACCACGTATCTTCTCTACCTTGATTGCAGTCGGTGACGGCCACCAAGTGATAGAGCAACCAGCTCTGCAATTCCATCACGGCCGTGCCCCACGCCACCTACGAAAAATTTCATATCAATAAAAATTTATGAGAACATCTTTAATTAATATCTGGAAATATTTCTAAAAATGAAGGCAAAATATATTATGATATTATACATTATATTATATACATTATATATATTATATATATTATATACATTATATTATATTCTAAAAATTTATCCCAGAAAAATTGCATTAAATTTTCACAAAGTTATAAAATATTTTTATTAAAGTTTCCATTTTTTTAGAAGAATTTATCCTGAAAATTATACGAATAATAATACGAATAATAACATTATATTATATACATTATATATATTATATATATTATATACATTATATTATATTCTAAAAATTTATCTCAGAAAAATTGCATTAAATTTTCACAAAGTTATGAAATATTTTTATTAAAGTTTCCATTTTTTTAGGAAAATTTATCCTGAAAATTATACGAATAATAATACGAATAATAATACGACAACAATCTCTATCTCTCTCCCCTAAATTATTCTCTTGTTATGTTATTCCGAAATTTTTGGCGCTTTGAGATGTAAACATTAGCATTTTCACGCGCTAGTGTTTACATGCCGTCACCTTGTCATACGACAACACTCGAGTGAGCAGAAAGCGATGTGAAGAACTCTGTGTATCATCGCATTGATTATCAAGATACGATCGCGATAAGTACTGGGAGACATCAAATAGAATCATTCCGAATTGGAGATTATTAATAACTAACTTCCACACGATTGACTCGTAAATGTATCGAGATGACGACTATCTTATCAAATATTTCACGATTTATATATTTTCGGAGAATGTAATACATATGAGAATGATCATAAATTCGAGTGATTTGGATAACAAAAAGCCGTTACACATAAATCGTAATTTATGACATTAATTTATGAATAATTCATTTGAATAATTCATTTGAAATTCGGAAAATATACCCCGTATGCTCTTACTTTATAAATATTTCATTTAAATGTTTCAATTTATTAACTTTAGCACGGTATTTGATGTTTGTTTCTTGGGCATGACATTCGTTTATAAAGATATTACTGTTTACAAGCTGAAAATAAAATAAAGTTGCAATAAAATGCGCGTTGTGATTAATATCGATGTTATATAAAATAAAGCGTTATATAAAAGGTCGCGCAATCGTAATTAATCGTATTTTCGCGAGTGAGCGCTGTGTAAGTGCCATGAAGGAATAATGAAGGACGAATAAGGAAAAGAGACCCGAGGGAGCCATCAGGCGGCTATGGAGCAATCACAAGGTAAGCAATTTATAATTGTGTTAATTTATTATTTGTAATTAAATATTCGCTTATCTTTGCGATTCAGTTTACATCATTGTGCAATATATAATGTGTATAAAAATAGTTTTATATTTAAAATATTTATTTTACGTAAAATAAAACATTTTTAATATAAAATTAATAATTATATAAAATATTAAATTATATACAATTGGTAAACATATCAAAAATATTTCAGTATCATTTCAAATTCTTTAGATTTTAACAATTTTTAAAGTTATTTATAAGAATACTACATAAGAATTTAATTTTTATTTTATACAAGCTTATATATAAAATAATTTTTTTGAAAATTCTTAATAAATTCTTTTATTAAATACTTGTTTATGAAGAGATAACTAAAATTTAATTGTTCCAAATTTTTCAAATATTAATTATTTTATACATTATTTTAATTGACAATGAGATATATTTTTTTCCAAATGAACGGTGCGTTCTACAGTTCCGCTGTTGCGCATATTATTTCTTATCCTAATCATAAGATGGTGGATTCGCGAGTATTGTAATACAAATATTTAAACTTGTAATAATATAGAAGTTAATATTTTACATTATTTTTATAAATCACTTGAAAAATATATACGTATATAAGATGTTATAAAAATATAATTGTTACTTAAAAATTTCCTTCAATTAAATTTCTTCACAGAAATGTTTTATAGAAACGAGATGACGATAATGTTAATGGAAGAAAAATTTTTGCGATTTTTCCGTCCGTGCAATTTTATTACGGTTTATTGTTCGAAACAAAACAACTACTATATTATTCGATTTGCGCGCGCGCGCGCGCACACACACACACACACACACACACACACACACACACACACACACACACATACCCAACAAGTAATTATCCCATTCTACATTTCATTTCAAAACCAGTCGAGATAATATTAATTATGCTTCGTTGCTGAGTTAAAAGATTACTATCAAAGATATGAAACAATTCGTGCTTATAATTCGAATTTACTTGTAATACAAAAACATGTAATTTAATAAAAACCTTCCATTAAAAAGATTGTAAAAATGAAAAATTTCACGAATATTTATTTTTTACTTATTTACTCGGGAAGATTATAAAAAATATCGTTTGCATCTACGTTTGTCTCGTAAATATTCTCATAAATATACCACGGTTTTTTGCAGAATGCCACAATGTTACCTTGGCATCAAAAGAGACTTAAAAAAAAACAGCTTCGAGGATATACCGTCTGTTTTTATGTGAAATCTTTAAATATGACATCGATCTAAATATATGATATATATTTGTCGATCGCACAACATTTTACGCCTTTATGAACTGAAATATTTTTCACGAACTCTTGGATTTGCGATGAGCGTGGCGCGTGTAATCGAGAGTCTCTCTCCCTTTTATTCGTACAATTCGTCTTAACGATCCTAATGCTGAAAATGAAATGTAATGCGAGCCAACGACATTCGTGTGGCACGCTATCATTGCTTGTACACGCGCGTTACATACACATGCGTTCACGGGGGCGCAGTATAAGGTCTCTACCTTTGACAGTTGGATCGATTTGTGAGGAGCGTCAAGGCGAGCCAGAGACTCTCATTCACTTTTGAATGACCGGTCGATTAATCGATTAAAACTCGAGTAATTGGTCTTTCGAAAATTTAGATTGCGTTGTTGCAATAATAAATAAAATACGCAATGAATAAAATTTCTTGTGCAATATTTACAGAGATTTCTTTGAAATATATTAAGAAAAAAAATCGAAAAAGCTGAAAAAAAAACAAGTAGCATGTAATATATGAGATAAAGTTTAAGAGAGGAAAAAAGCGAAATTTAAATGTAAATTTTATCTTAAAAAATACATTCACTGTGGTTTTCAATTTTTCATGCGTTATATCTGCGGATTCTGCAATTGAAATATTATTTACAATATTTTGTTATAATCTCGTGATATATATATTTCTCTTTTTATTCACTATGGAAATGTTATTTCAATTTTAAACGTAAAATAAAACTTTCAATTTCTTTTTTCTTTCGTTCTCCCCTTTTTTTAAATCTTATTTTCTCATCAGAAATTCGATTAAGCTTGTCTGTCGGTTCCTCTTGCTCAGGAAACAGCAATCGTAACATTATCAGATAGAGTCTTTCGTTATTTAATTCTTTCTTTATGTTTCAACAATGATCGAAAGAAAACGCTAATAATATGTAAGAATAATAATACAGAAATACAGAAATAATACACAGAAGCAAAATAGATAATATGACATGCTCAATTATAAGTAAGACCTTTAAAAATCAAATAATTCCAAAAAAATTAAAAAGGAGAGAGAGTTCGATTTCATTTTTACTTTCATTTGAAATTCTCGATTAATATCGTCAATTCGCTTTCATTTGTCACGAATCATGATTTCTCTCGAATTTTACTACTGACGGAGTCGCAGAAATGATGCGTGAGAGTGCGTTATGAATGATTGATCGTCGGACACTTTCGCACTCTCTCTTTCTCCTCTCGCAGTCCATCAACGATTCGTCGGGACTTTCTGGCACCTGTGCGTTGCCGCGTGTGCTCGAGATGGCATTCAAATGCCATCTCGAGATAGCCGATCGTTTGTCAAATTGCGCAATTTTTGGAGAAAAAATATGAGACGAAAATTCCTTGCGAACGTAAAATTTCGTACACTCGGCGGATTATCGATTGTACGAAATGGAAAAATAAATTTTTTTCATCGATGATTTGTGCGATATCTGCAAATAAATCGTATAATAAATATGTACGTATATTAGCTTATTAAATTCTCGATAAAAACATACGTATATGTGTCTTTACTTTTAACGGAGAAGAGGAAAAATATAAATTGGCAGCGAAATTTATCGTAATTTTATTATATAGGGGAATGTCGTTCGCATCGCAAATATTTATACAGAACTTGACTGTGTATTCGAGAGTTCGAGAGACATCGTTATTTATCTTTCAATTATCGATGAGCAAGAAAAACCAGTTCTGTTATTTCGCGATATGAAATAATTAACTGTTCTAAATTGAAGTCCCCCTTTAGATAGCTATTTCTTTCCTACATGCATCTTTCAAGACCGTCCATCAGGTGGCTTGTCTTCAGAATATTCGATCGCCAGCTATAAATAAACACATGTATATCTCGCCTGATTGATTCGATTTACCTTCTCTCTACCAACCTGATTCGATATGTACATGTTGTGAGCTTTCTGTGAAACATGGCATTTCACGAGAATCCTAGTCACTTCATGAAAACCGATTGGATGCGACTTGAATTTTCATGAAACGCATTTGCAATACAACATTGCGATGTTTCTCAAGAGTAGTTGTTCAAAAATTCGCAAACATATTCTTTCTACGCGCAAAAGCCCGTAAATTATATTATCGATCAATCTTTTATCAATTATCGAAAAATTGACAATTAATAAAATTAATGATTTTTTCGTCATTTTCTTTTTAAGTCTTTTAAGTTCTTTTAATATTTTTAAATAAAATTCTCCCATCGGAGCAAATTTTAGCTTTTTAGAGAGTAATAAATAATATTATAGTAAAAATTGCGTAAAAAATCAAGTAACGTCGATGTATATATATAAAATACACATGTCAATTTATTTATAAGTGCTCCATAAATGTCTCCTTATCATTCAATCTTTCAAAAAAAGAATCAAACGATTGCTATGCGGAAATGAGCTGCGTCTATT